TTGGTAACATTGCAAACATCTCTGATTAATATCTTTGACAAATCAAAGGCTCTCTGCTTTGACAGTATTTTAAAGGAATTCCAGTAACAAAAATATAAACCTATACGCTGCCGCATGCAAAAGAGAGCGTTGTTCTTTGTCTTGCCAATTGATATCCTCTTGTTCCAACAGCAATGCGAACACCTCCTCCATGTCCCCAAGAAATATGGCTTGCAGTAAAGGAGGCTGCAAGAAATAGAAAATTTAAAATTCATCTAGCTGGTACACACAGCGCAGCGTTTACAGTGTGCAACTTGAAGATGAGAAAAAACCAGATAGAACAAAGTGCAGAAAATAAAATGAATGTAAAGTAAAGCAGTCTGCCTTGCGATGAAAACAGATGCCATCGAAGCGCAATCTTAACACCGCGCGCGTTTGATTCAACCCAAACGATTCACTCGCGTGCGCCGATAACGGAGGATACACGTCGAAGATTCGCTTCGATTGAGAGAAAGGAACGCGACATACCTCATCGCGAAGTTCCTGCACATTCATGTTGGCACGTATTTCGGACTTGTTCTAATCTCACAGTTGTTCTCTCACAAGAGGAGCATCATTGTCCACCGCAGGCCACCTGGAGAGCGAGTGTCACCGACGACGACAACGACGACGACGACGACGACGATGACGAGTGAGTGAGTGAGTCACCGTGTTCCGATCTCGGTTATGGCACCGACCTCTTTTCGGCCGCCGGTAGCCGGTCGGACGAAAGGATACGGAATCGAGCGCAGATCGTCGTGCCGAACGAATCGCTCTTGCACGGACGAGTCTCAGGGAAACGCGACACACCGTGAGCGCATCCTATCGCTGTATATTTATTGCTCGCGCGTGGCCAACCCCCGCTATCTGACGCGCTGTGCCTTCACTTCAACCGCCATCTTCGACTCGTGCTCTCGAACGAGATTTGTAAACAACAACGTGAACCTCATCTCGCGAGTTCTCGATCTCGCTGTTTCTCGATCTCTCTCACGGTCTCGATCAGTCTCGGTGATCGAGACAACGAGTCACGGAGAATGCCGCCAAAGTGCGCGAAAAATCATGTGCTAACGAGGAGAGTGTGAGTGCTTTCTCAGAATCCGGAATCTTTGTCGAAATCGTTTAAATGCAATTTAGATCAGTGGTCGGATCGAGACGCGAATCCTGCAGCCTTAATCGTGAGTACGAACATGAGCAATTCGTTATTTATTATTCAACGTCAATTACTGCACAATTATCGTACGTTATAGAGTAAACTGACAATCTTATAGATGAACTTGGATGCTATTTGTGACTGCGGGGGTAAAGTCAATGTTAACGACTGGCAACTGAACAGAGGTGGTTTGTTTTATCACAAAGAAGTGGATAATGTGCTTTTCCTGCAAACAGACTATCCCTTCTCTCTCACAGAAGTTAGCCTCTTCAATTGCGCCATGCCTGGAGCCATAGCTGTGATGAATCTTCAGCATCTCATTAATTGCATGGAGTAAGAGTGGATTTTTTTCATTTTCATGTCTTTATTGATTGAAAAATTTCTAGGGGACCTGCAGTATGTAATATATTTACCCTGGATCTGTGTGTATATATATATATACTTTTTTTTAATCTTGTAGGATGCAATTAAAGATATTACGTCGACACGATAAGCCTGTTACAATATCTGGAATATGCAATGATCGTGATTATTTCTCTGTAAGGAAGATGGTCTGTGAATTCATTTTATATTTTCGTACATATATGAATAGGTATGTTTAAAAAAACAACATTATTGATACGACATAATTAACTCACAAATAACTGACAAATGTCTCAGTTTAATTACATATATTATAGCATTAGATGGGATCTTAGCACATTGGAAGCAGCAATACCTGAAATCAATAAGGATATAGATACCTTATTTGACTCCATCAAGCGCTTTTTCAGCACATTACGTACTTTTCCAGATTCTACTTTACTATACGCAGCTTCTAACATTGGCAATAAGGTATTTAAAAAATACATATGTTTCCGGGAAGGCAATATTACACAAGACCGAATGGAGATGTCTCATTTTTGTTTTAGTGTAAACAACCAGAGTTTCATATGTATCATATACATATAGAGTTGAGATGGTTCTTTATCACATTGATATATGCAAGAACCACGTGGTACCAATATTCAATACACACACAGTTGGAAGAGCTTGAAAATACTTTTGCAATAGTCATCAGTGATTTGATATACGCTGCTTTGAAAGTATTTGAAAGGGTAAGCACGGTCAGAAAGAATTCAAAGCATTTCTATAATAATACAAATGTGTTGTTTCATGTTTATTTAATTTTCTTTTAGCTATCCTTGAATTGGACCATGGATCTTACACAGAAAACACCGTACAACTGTACATGTATACGGGAATTATGGTTGATGCTTCAAATATTCATCGATAGCTTGGAAGAAAGATTGAAAACCAAGGTAGAAGATTGTGGATTTTCAATAATTTTTTACTTACATAAATACTTAAATAAAGTGGATAAATGTGTGTGTGTGTGTATATATATATATAATGTATCTTCAGGTATTTTGGGATCATGTAAATATTTGTATCGATAAAGTATTAAACAAAAATCAAACTCAAGAGATGTCTTGGCACAAAACTATGGATTCTTCTTTGCCAGACTGTAAAAATTCCGAACTGTTCTGCATCTGGATAATATACCACTTGTCTCTGTTGTATGGATACAGTAACGACGGTGTATACTTACAATTTATTTCATCAAGGGTAGTACGCGATAAATTTTAGCAAAGGTGGAATCACAAAAAACCTCGATAGATAAACGTTTATCGATTTACAGATTAGATCTAATTACGAGCAAGTTGAGAAAATTCTTAAAGTATACGTCTGCAAAGGCGGAAAAGATGGCGAGAGGGATGAACTTGATACTGAGCTGAAAATTATAATACCGTTATTACACGATCTCATTATTAACTGGTGGCAGCCGCGAATATCGGTTATATCTTTCCTCTGGGACTGCTTCCACAAGAGATTGGATCAGCCGTTCCTCCAGCAAACTTCTGGACCTTGGGCTCTGTCTGTTGAAAAGTATGGAAATAAAGTGCAAATTCAAATGCACAGTCTGTGCGATACTACATTGTATTACAAAGATATAACCGTGTTCTTACGGAAACTCCCTCTTTTTTCTTTTTCTTTTTTTTTCTTTTTCTCAGAAAAACTGCCGCGGATATTTTGAAACAGAGCAACGATAGAATTGATGGCAAATTCGAGCAGACTAAGGAATCTAGCTACAGTCTGTTCTTGTATCTGTTAGGTAAACTTTGCGCAATCTTCCTGTGCGTTGTCTGTGTGTTCCAAAAAGAAAAAAAAAACGATTAATTTTTCAGGCACCTTTTTGAAGAAGTACAGCAAGACAGATGTAAAATATTGGAATCAGGTCAAGGGTCGCGTGTATACGAAATTTTCAAAAAGCAAAGTCGAGGAATTCTCCGAGAGTGGCTTGTACAATTTCATATCCTTATTTATTACTTTAGCCGTCTCTGCAGATACTACCAATGTAGTAAGTAAAAATGTGCGAGAGTTGCCATCTGTCGCACGTGTCGACAATATCAACATTATCAACATTCATTTTAATGTTTTCGCAGTGCTTAACAATGCTGGAACTCTTACCATCTACACACGAGGCAAATAATGAAAACAATAGGAAATACAATCTAGTTTGGAAGGGGAAACTGACGTGTTTACTGTTGTTCAGTGAAAAAGGATTGTCGTTTGATCCTATAATTGGCTACTTTACAGAAACTGTAAGCTCTATCGTCTACATGTCCATAAATATACGTATAAAATTAAGAAATCTTGATTTGTTTGATAGATCAACTTGATAAGTTGCCGTAAGGATGAAATATCTCGCTCCATGATGACAAACTTCGTCGACGTATTAAATAAGATTTTAACAGACAACGAGAAAATGGATCTGGGAGAACATCATTTTGTTGGCGGCTGGATTGATCGTTATCTCTTAGAATGCCCGAAAAATAGAATCAGTACTTTACTCGTGATGCTCGTCAATGTTTTCGAGATGTGCGTCACTTTACAAGTCTGTGGCAATTCAGGTTGGTATATGTTTATGTACTTTAGTAACCTTGTCGATCAAAAGTGTGTCTTTCGTGTTTCCTTCAAATCTTTCATATTTATCGCAGATTTCACGTAGGTTAGTCGATTATAATCGAGACTTGTTGCTTGTAGATGGTGCCAGGAAAATGTTAGATGCATTGTGGTGTTTCGTTGCTTCTAGAGTTCGTCAGCTTGTCTTTGATCCCGTTCTTACCGGTGATAATTACAAGAACATATCCAAGCTAGCTGTTATATTCACGCTAGAGGCAGTCAGAGATTCAAGCACTGCTAAGAAATATAAACATTCAGCAGTGTCTTTGTTTCAGCATTTCGCAGCGTCGATATTTGTTAAAGATATAAGGTGCGAATTGTTTGTCTGAAGATTAGCATTTCTAAAGTCGAAAGTAACATAGCAATACCATTATCACATTTCAGGATCACTCAGTGTTATTTAACGTTGATTCTCGAGGACAGCCAGGCTGTGCAAAACTTGAAAAAGGAAATCCCAAATTTTGATACCATTCTCATTCAAGTTTGTATTCACACACGTACACACACACAGCGTGTTTGCGATACGCCATGTACATTTTGAGAAACGGTCAAATCATCCAGAATATTTTCTAGGCCTGGATAAAATGTTCTATTGTTGGTTACGGCACATACAAGGAAGAGCTAAAGATCCTGCAACATTACATCACCGGTCTCGATGAGATTAAAGAAATATTTATATCGGATAATGATCTGCAAGAATTTCGAAATAACAGCAATGAGCCCATTTTAACGTTCATCATATCATTCATGAAAAAGCAGAATCTCTTAAAGGTACCGAAGGTCCCAACGAATCGACTATCATTGCTGCTATCTTGATCTAAAATTAAATTAATACGAGTGAAAAATTTCACAGTCTGAACAAGAGAAAATCCAGCATACTGGAAAATGTAAGGCATACTTCAAGAATTTGGAGAAATGGGTCCTATTACCCATAACGGAAGAGACAAAAGACTCGGAAGTCGCATTTTGGATTTACAGATGTCTCGGAACGTTGATACTCTGCATCTCACCGACATTGTACACCAAAGTAAGTAAGATTTAACACATTTGTCGATTGTCAAATTGAATTCTTATCTTCTTAGAAACTTTGTTTTTGTAGAATCAACCGAACGATATGTTGAGAACGCTCGTGAACAAAGTTATACTTGTACCTGAGAATTCGACACAGCCATACATAAAACAATTGGGAAAAAAAATATTCTCCATGGTGATACTCGGTCTAGAGAAATTGAACATTAAAGGTGACATATTACTGCAAGCGATGATACGAGATATCTTCGATCAGTACCTGCCGATTTTGATAACCGAGATTAATAACGGTGGCAATTTTCGAGTTTCCGATATGTTACTGAAGTGTTTCAAGGAAGCAAAGTGCGAATTCATGCGCTCAATCTTTGAGACGCTGATGTCGAATTTTTATAATATATCGTCCGACAATGTCATGCATAAACACTCCAATTTGGTACGCATAATAGCATCGTAATTATCTATATACAATACATAATATAACAATGATATGCAAATATGTCCGTTGCATATGTTTATACAGATAACTTGGCTTATCAAGACACTGCTTAAAGAAGGGAAAAAGTATCCCAAGTATACTGTGGAACACATTGTTCAGATTTGTTCTCCACACATCTTTGGGTGCTACGTGAAAGTTCACGATCATCACCCACACAAATTGCACACCATTGACTTCATCAGCGATGTAGTCAAGAGCCCTTACTATGAAGAAGATAGAATAATCAGGTGAACATTTCAAGATATATTTTTTGAAAGTCGATATTTCTTCTAACTAAATATTTTCACTTCAATGTTCAAAATTTTCGTATTTTTCAGAGAAAAATTCCAGGCTGCCGTCTCTACTATGGTGCAGAAATACTTAACGCTAAATACGCAACCTACGTTCGAGTTTATACGATCGGTCTTGCCGATAAAAAAAGATATGATAATCAGTTTGTTCCCGCAAATTGAGACTGTTGTATCGCAGGCAGAACAATACCGCCGACACAACGCGGTGTCCTTGAGGTAAGAATTATGGTTACGAATTTTTGTAAATAAAAATTATTACATGGACTTAACGCGATACTTGAAAATAATCATTTGATTTCAGGTTCATGTGGAATCAGTTGAAGAAACACATGCTGAATATGAACAACAGATCGTGATAAGGTTCAAAATTTATTAATAAGCGCTAAATATCTTCTCAATAATGACGATTTGGATCTGCTATAAATACTCTCAGATTCATTGGTAATTCAAGATGCTGTTTGATTTTATGGATACGTAACCATGTTCGTAAGCAGAAACACTTAAATTCACCTAGTATCAAGTTAAAATGTACATAGCAATGAAATGAAGTGAAATTATATGTGTATATGTATACATATGTATATCTATATACATATACATATTTACATACATACATACACACATACACACACACACACATTTATATATATATATATATATATATAATATATATATGTATGTATATACATATACATAAATAAAACATTCTCCTCAATCGCAGAAAATAGACATATAAAATAAAAAAATTTAAATTATTGTCGCGTATACGTCATAGAATCGCTAGAACAATAATCAGCTGTGATACGTATGTAAATCCGCTTGCGTAACGAGCGATCATCCGGTATAATAAAGATAAAGTAGACGAACGCGACGAACTGTCAAGATCAACACACGCATGTGCACACGCACGCACGCACGCGCACACACACACATACACACACACGTACACACATTCCCCTACATTCTCTCGTTACTTTCGATATGGATGCCTCGAGCGATGATGTTTCAACGATGTACTAGTCGTACTGCCGGGAGGCGATCGTCATCCAATTAATTCGAGACGAGATATGGCATTGCGTACAGCGTTACGTAGACTCTGCTCGGCATTGCCGTTCAACAGTGATTCCAGTCTCTCGAAGTAACCGTCGATATTTTGTAATGTAGCACCATTGTGCGTCTCTGCACAAATCGAAAGTATTTCGTACGATTGTACAGAAATGAAGCGTCGATTTACGAGATTTAGAATTCCAGAAGAGACATCTCACCTGGAAGCGGTATGTTGGCGAAGCATGTAGCCAGCTGCGAACGAAGAGTATCCAAATGACGTTGTAAAGCTTGATTGGTCGTCCGCTGCTGATAAATCTCGGATTCCAATTCGTTTACAGCGGTGTGCAGAGTATCGACGTGTAGCTGAAGAACTGCATTGTGACTTTCGTAGTCGGACGTAACTTTCCGCAACTGTCTTAATTCGGCCTCACAAGCTGCACAAACGCGCGAGACATTGTATCAATATCTTTTTGCGCTGTTTACTACATCAATTGTAACATTTTACATATTTTAACTCAAAATCTCTCGCTGCAATTTCCTACCTTTATTATGATCCAGGAATTCTTCTGTAAAAATAGGGATGTCAAAGCCGGTGAAATCATTATCTTTGTCTTGTTGTACATCCTAAAAGAGAAAGTCCGTTAGCAACGCCGTATTTTGTGATGGCAGACAGTCTTGCGTGTAACAACAATCTAATCGTACATTCTGCTCGGTATTTACGCCTGTGCCATTCCTCTCTTTTTTATTCTCGTTTTGCTTTTCAGTTTGTTTCTCAGTGAACAAACGATACGCTTCTGTTTGTTTATAGTCACTAATTTCACGATTGTAGCGTTCCTTGTCTTGCTCAGCCGCGTCTAGATATTGCTGCAAAAGATTCATTGTCCCTTTAACATCTCCGTCCATTCATACAATATCTGAAATATCTTAAAAGGCAGCAAACCTGCTTCTGATCGGATGGTAATGTGCTCCATTCTGCAGCCAGAAGCTTTGTGATATCTGCGAAAGAGAGACTGGGATGCTCGTGTCGGGCCTTCTCCCTTCGGTCATTTAAAAACCTGTACATTGTAAGACTTGTCGAAGACTGAATCGTTTAATATATAATTTAATCACTTTAATACATATGCGGAGGTATTTTCATCTCATTACCGAAAATAACCGGTAAGTGGTTGTTTTGGGGCAGTGGCATCTCTTGGAGTCTTCTTCCGTTTCTTTGCTCTATTTGTCGTATTGCTATTATTATTGCCAGTGGTATTCTTCTTCGTGCCATTGTCACATACAGTCAGTGAATCTGGTACCTTATCCTCTAGGCTCACTGGAGATTTATCTAATGAAGAATGCAGTAAAGATGTTTTGTTAATTAACTAATTATGTATAAACAGGTACGACATGAAATGACTTGATATATTTACTAGTATGTTCCTCCGTTTCCCCATTGTAAGCAGGCTGCTCAACTGTGCCATTGCTCTCTGGCACATCATTTGCAGCTGTTGTCTCACTCATTTTTCAATGTATTTTTCAACGTATATATTTCAATGTTATCGACGTTGCGGTCTTGTGATAAAACTCACGTTATCGATCTCAGGCAACAGCCGTTATATATTAACAGTAGAAATCTAAGTTTTTACGTGGCCTGCAGTCAGATGGGAAAAATTGTTCGGATTTGAGAATTTGTATCGTTCACAATTCGCAAGATAAAATTCAATAATTATACAGTTTACAGACCTCATCTCTACTATTGATTGATAAAGTTATGCTCGATCGACGTGTTCTTACATGAAATGAATGAGAATCTGACAGAAAAAAAGGTCGCTTTGCTTCGCGGAGCGAGGCTATTAATTGTTAAAGTTGACGACTATTTGGGTTATTACGAGACCTATCGTAGTAGTAACGATACTTTAGCGATACGAACATGCTCCGTGACAAAATGCGCATGCAAAAAGTGCGCGAGTTTGAAACGTTTGATACGTGTATATCTACTAAATCTTCACCTTGTATATCTTGTAAATCTGTGAGACTGTATAATTAGATCTAGTACATCTAGAATCTAATACATATATCTCGTAACCTAATCTAATCTAATCTAATCTAATCTAACCTAACCTAACCTAACCTAACCTAACCTAACCTAACCTAATCTAATCTAATTTAAAATCTATAAAATGTTTATTTGTTAATTTTTCTTTGGTTTCCTTTCTCATAGTCTTTTTCATTTTTTAGTAAAGTTGAGTTAAGTTAGAGTAAATATTTTTCATCTTTTTAAGTACAGAGAATCCGAAGACAGATAATCAACTTTACTTATTATTTCCATCTATCTTCAAGTTCCCTGTACTTGAAAAAGAATTAAAAATATTTAACCTAACCTAACCGTGCTAAAAAATGAAAAAAGGAAAAATGAAATTAGAAAATAAGAAACTAAAAAGAGATGAAATTAAATTATTGGAAGACAGATGGATATAATAAATTTTATTTATAATATATAAATATAAATTTAATGATATAGATTTTATTTATTATTTATAATATATATACATTAATAATAATAATAATAATACAATATATACATTAATGCTAATATAAATTTTAATTATCATCTCCATCTATCTTCGCGTTCTCTCTACTTTTACTGAAACGACAAAAGATATGTAACTTAGACAAACCTACCTCGCGCATTTTTTGCATGTACACGTGGCCACGGAGAACGTTTCATGTCGCTATATATCGTTGATACGTACGAGAAATTTCATAACCAAAGTACCAAAGTCGTCTTCAACAATATGCCGCATTGCAGAACAGAACGACGGATCAAACTTTTTTCTGCCCGATTCGTTCGTTTTGTGCAAAAATGTGTCGATTGAGCATAAGTTTGTCAATATTGAGGCTCCTAGATTGTACAAGTACCTTTCTTAAGAGGTACAATATATATATATATATACATACCACAAAAATTACTAGGAAAAAGTATATTATGCAGCAAACTGTACTGTATCAGCATTCGGCCGATCAATACCGTGATGAAGTTAAATTAGGCTAATCTGTCTAACTAATTAACGTTCCAGTCTCACAAATGATGCGACATGGCGACGCGCGTATGTCCACGGTTTATGTTATGTATGTTATGTATACAGCAATATAGCGATATCGGAAAAACTATACGCACATGCGCGACGAAATCTGAACACTGATCGTGGATGGGATAAAAGGTCTGTTTTTTATCGCTGAACTAGTGTACACTCAGGGAACGTAAAAAGAAATAGATATACATCTAGGAGTTAGTGAAAGGGAAAGAAGAAGAGAATAAGTGCAAGTTAGTGCAGCCAGTTCAGCAATAGAAGAAAACAAACCTTTCTTCATTCATCTCGGAATGCGTTCCGAAGATTACTAAAACAACGCACACCAACTATTAGGCCTGCTCGTTTTGTATGCACTGCTGAACTAGTGCGTTAAGTTAAAGTGAGACAAACATAGGTTTTCTCACTTCAACCTGCACCAGCAACAGCAGTGCAGACAAAACGAACAGGCCTTTACATGTCCGCGCGACTGTACGGTCGCGCGGACATGTAAAGTTAGCGGCACACGGTGCTTGTTTTTGTGCTGCATTGCTCGCTGGGTGAAAATACTACGTTCTGATTGGTGCATTTCCATCCATCTTTGGAAATGTACCAATCAGAACGCAGTATTTTCATCCAGCAAGCAATCTAGCACGAAAATAAGCACTGTGTGCCGCTGGCTTAATAGTATGTTTTTTTGCAACTTTCGGAATGCATCCCGACTCGAGAAGAATGGATGCATTCGGTACTACAACCGCTCACTGAGATTTTACATTTGATTGCTATATTCCTTTAGATTTAAAAATATACACTAATCATATGCAAGAGCTCACTGAGCGCTAAGTGAGCTGTTGCATCTGATTGGTGTATATTTTGAAATTTAAAGGAATATACCAATCAAATGTAAAAGCTCATTGAGCGCTCAGCGAGCGATTGTAGTACTGAATGCACCCATTGAGAGTCACTGCTCCGCCTGGGAAGCACGCCTGCGCAGTGACTCACAACGAGAGAGGCGAGAAATGAAATATACGCGGTGGGACATATTATAATAATACAGACTCAGATGAAATGAATACTCCAGCATTAAGTGGAAATGAGGGAACACAGAACAGACAAGAATCATCCGATGTAATGTCTTATACTCCGGGGGACATCCGAAAAAGGTAGAGATAAATAAACATGTTTGTGTTTTTAAAACAATACGAACTTAATTAAGAGAATTAAGCTGCATTACGATAATTACGATTTTATTATATATTTATATGTGATTTATTGTTTCAGCAACAGCCATCTTCTATAGCAGAAGCAATGATATGAGATACAGAAGCAGCTGTTACATAACAGCTGCTTATTATTATAATATGTCCCACCGCGTATATCTCATTTCTCGCCTCTCTCGTTGTGAGTCACTGCGCAGGCGTGCTCCGCAGGCGGAGCAGTGACTCTCATTCTTCTCGAGTCGGGATGCGTTCCGGAAGTTGCAAGAAAACGGGCACACACTATTATGTCCGTGACCGTACGCTGCAGCGACGAATGGCGCCACCGACGAGATACTACGGCCGTGTTCCAAAATTTACTGCCAGCGCTGAAAAGTTTTACGTGTGACACAAACTATATTTATAACTATATTTTCAGTACTGGCAGTGAGTATCGGAACGCGTCTAGTACGGCTGCGTTCCGAAATTCACTGCCAGTACTGAAAGTACATAGTTTGTGTCACGTATACTATAGATTTTCAGTGCTGGCAGTGAATATTGGAACGCAGCCTACATAAAGCCAGCGGCACACGGTGCTTGTTTTCGTGCTGGATCGCTCGCTGGATGAAAATACTGCGTTCTGATTGGTGCATTTCCGAAGATGGATGGAAATGCACCAATCAGAGCATAATATTTTCATCCAGCGAGCAACCCAGCACGAAAACAAGCACCGTGTGCCGCTGGCCTTAAAAGTGATGTGACAGCGCGAAGGAGCGTGAGTGAGAGAGGGGAATGAATCTCGTGTCACGTTTCCCAGATTTTCTAACCTGGTATATTTGACGTGTCAAAATGTTTGTATGTGACAATAGCGAGATTTCTCGTGAAATTTCTTAACGTTTGATAATCGTAATGATAAGTAATAAAGATGAATAGTTTAGGTTTAAGTCTAATTTTCAGAATGGGTTGTATATGCGCCAAAGAGACTGTTACAGTAAACTCCCGGAAATATACGATTCGCGAACATCTTGGAGAAGGGTGAGTTTGTTGAAATAATAATAAATGAGTTATCGCTTGCTCTACTACAAAGGAATTTTGCATCAATGATTAAAAGGTTTAAGTGAAAATTTTCTATTTTATAAGTGGATTTAGTACAGTATTTTTGGCGGAAGATACCGCGACGCACAAAAAATATGCTATCAAAAAGATCATTTGCCATGGACCAGAGGATCAACAATTGGCAATGAAAGAAGTGGAATATTACAAGCAGATAAAGCATCCTAATGTTATAAAATGCATAGATTCAGCTCGTGAAGGTGCAGCCGACCCGATTGTCAATACAACGAGCGAAGTGTTAATCGTTTTACCATATTATCACGTAAGCTGACATAATCTTCTAATAAAGGTAATAAAAGTTCCGCATGAACCTACATATGTTAATGTAATTTTAGAGAGGAACGTTAGCGGATGAATTAGAACAACGAGCTAAAAATAATGATTATATGAGCCCTGTGGATATACTTAATATTTTTCTACAAATCTGTGAAGGTGTGAAAGCATTTCATGAAGCTAAGCCTGAACCTCTTGCGCATAGAGATCTGAAAACTGCAAATATAGTACTTAGTGACGACGGAACACCAGTGATTATGGACTTGGGTAGATTACAACTCTGTTATTTTCTTAATATTTAGTTAAAATGCAGGCTTTTTTGTCACCATCAAACATCAATGATGAATTATATAGGCTCGGTAACAACTGCCAGAGTTCAAGTGTGCGGCACACAAGCTGCACGGACTCTGCAAGACTTAGCAGCTGAAAGATGTTCCATGCCGTATAGGGCGCCAGAATTATTCAATGTTGAAAGTTATTGCATGGTCGATGAACGAACAGACATCTGGGTAAGCATCAATTGTAAAATAAAATAGGTCATTTATTCAGACGCAAATGACTCAAGTATTGGATTCAATTATAGTTATTTTCTTTTTCTCAGTCATTGGGCTGCACACTGTATGCGCTGTGTTACTTTAAATCCCCCTTTGATACAGTTTACGAGCGAGGTGACAGTGTGGCTCTAGCTGTGATAAGTGCGCATGTAACATTTCCAGAAGGTGCTCCGTACAATGAGGTTGTTATGTATTGTGCTTTTTATATTACATTCACACGATATCAATTCCCCCGCCGATCTAAGATGTTGCGTATTTTTACTTTACAGGATATGCAGAGTTTGATCCTCTCAATGCTGAAAGTTAACTCGATGGAACGTCCATATATATACAGTGTGATAGAAAATATACACGATGCAATAGCTAAATTAGAAAGCAGAGCATAATTATATATTAATATATTTCTTACGGCGATCATTTATACTCAGCGATATATAAGAAGAAGTAAATTCGGTGACATATGAGGCCGAATTATCGGACTCAATTTGACGAGTGCAATTATCGAATTATAGAAGCCTGTAAGCAATGCGAAGGAGGATATCTGATATCAAAGTAAAAGGTTGCATTTGTAAATGGAAAGTTATTTCCAAAATTACCGAATTGAAACAAAAATTACAGAACCACGATGTTGTTATTTGTAACGGGCACTACAGAAATGAAATATTGTTAAGACGAAACATATTCCTTGTGTGTGTGTGCGTGTGTGTGCGTGTGCGTGTGTGTGTGTGTGTGTGCGCATGTATAATCATAAAGTTGTGTAAAAAGAAAAAATAAAAAATACTTTAATACATATATATATACATACATACACACACACACACATATATATATATATATACATTGCGTATGTTAAAACTTTTTTTTTATTTCAAAACTGCTAGTAGTTTAATAAAAAGTCAAGATTTTAACACTATATACTCATTGATGGGTCAAACATATTTTAATTTCCCAGATATACATTTCATAGATAAATAAAATTTATTTCTAGATAATTAAAATAAAGTATGTGCGGAAATATTTATTATAACACATAACATTTATTCATTGACATATACAAGAACTATATATATATGAAATTCTAACGAGAGAAAAATCAAGCAAATACTATCGACATGCGGGAGACGTGCAATCGAGGCAACGAAAGTATCGAGAAGAGAATCGATCCTCTGGTAAACGAGAGAAGCGAACATCGATCCATCGATTGCACATCGTTCGTGCTCGTGCTCGTGCTCGTGCTCCTTTGCGCCAGTTGCGGTTTGCGGTGGGTGAGTCTCGCGCGTAATCGGACGCAGTCGGCCGACGGGTCGTGTTCAGTCAGTGTCGTTGCGATCAGATCTACTCGGATCTCTGGGCCGAACGTCGTAACTGTCATCGTTGTCTGCCATCATCATCCTCCTCAATAGTCGTCGCCGTCGTCGTCATCGTCATCATCCTCGTTCTCGTCCTCGTCCTTCTCATTGTCACTGTCGTCATACTTTGCCATCTCGCGAAGATGTTTCACGTGCGAGGTCTCGCGCGCTCGTCGATCGCCCTGAAGCAGGCACCGTGTAACGATGTTCTGCGAGGCATGTTGGCGCGTGTTGTACCGGCTGCCATGCAGGCAAACTCCCGTGGATACGCCGACCATCAGGTCCCGGAACGGCTCAAGGACGTGCCGACGGCGCCGAATCCCAAGTTCTTCGACATGGTGGAGTACTTCTTCCATCGCGCTTGCCAGATCGTCGAGGAGAAGCTGGTCGAGGATGTCGGCAAGCGGTCACGGCTGTCCGTGGAGGAGCGCAAGAAAAAGGTCAAGGGTATTTTGATGCTGATGGAACCGTGCGATCACATCCTCGAGACCACGTTCCCGCTGAGACGCGATTCTGGCGATTATGAGATGATCACCGGCTATCGTGCTCAGCATTCTACTCATCGAACACCGTGCAAAGGAGGTATGGTGTGCGTACGACCTTTTGTTTCGTTCTTCTGTCCGTCTCGTTGATTTCCGAATTTGTGGAACACACACTTTCTCTCTCTCTCTCTCTCTCTCTCTCTCTCTCTCTCTCTCTCTCTCTCTCTCTCTCTCTCTCTCTCACTCGCACACGCTAAAAAATGTGCCCCTCTCTTTCCCGATATCTCGACTTTTTAATTTGTATTAAAATAATCTTATTTAACATTTGTATTAAAATAATCTTATTTAACGTCTGTTAATTTCTTTATTTAGCACATTTAATTGTAGATATAAATTAAATATACATTATTTATTTTTCATATTTCTCTCGACGAAATGTCTTGAGCAAGATGTAGCAGTATGCCAACGAGAATTAGTGGAGGATTGTTGTTTAGTATTTTGCGAGAAATTTGCGGTATGCAACTGCGCGATGACCGCGTGAAACTCGTGCTCACCACGTCACACACGCACAGCTTTGCACACACACACACACACACACAGATTACCAGAAAGCAGAAAGCGGGGTAGTGTCCCTTTGCGGCATGTTAATTCTAATTGAAATGCGGTTCAAGCGGTCAGAGCTGACGAGTAGACGAGTAATTTGGTTCCTGTCATTGATGATCCGCCTACCAGCAATGGATCATTGCGTTATTTTGTCTTCCTTAGCGTGCCGCCCCGGCTGCAATTTGTGTATGTAGCGGCGGATCTGCTACTCAAAATTCATCCTCGCAGGTTCGATTACTTCGGAGGACTCTTCACTCTCCTCCCCGATCCCGAAATATTACCTTGTCCGTGCGAACATTTTATTTTGCATCCTCGAGTTGCGAGATACTCTGCTCTTCGCCGAGATAGACGTGTCGTGATCGTAATGTTCGAATGACCGACCGATAAGGGAAATTATCGTCTCAAAAGCGATAAGCGACATGCCGTTTCCTTGCACGCGACTCCCGCCGCTCGAGTATCCTTCGGATTGTCTCACGCGCGTCTCCCGTTACGAAACACGGGCGTGATAAAGTCACGCGACACATCCAAATAACACGACGATTGACATTCGTATTGTTTGAAATATCAAGTCTCTTTTTCTCCTAACGTTTTTTTCTTCTAATTTCCCAAACGTATAAAATGTATAAAAAAAATAAAAAAGGACCAAAGCTCAGTGTACGCTGGCGTACATTGGATGACCGCGTTGCGCGCGCGACCGATACAGGTCGCATAGACTCTCATCGTAAGGTTGAAAATTTCAGATCTTCGTTGTGCTAAACCACACCTAGACAGCATATTTTACTTTTAAAAGGCGTTTAACAGACGCCTATCTTTTTCTTTTTTTAACATCTTAAACATTTTTTGGAAACGTGTGCTGTCTGGGCGAATCGCGTCTCGGCTTCTCGTCTCTCGTCGACGTCCCGCGAAACGTTGCGGAGACGTGTGTTGTGTGAGAGAGAGAGAGAGAGAGAGTATCGTCCGTCCGTCATATCCATCGGTATTTATACGTCCAGTTCATCAGGTTAGGTTACTCGCGTGTTTTACGCGCCGATTCGCACGTTAAACATGTCCAACATGTATGCGAGTTTTGCGGCTTCGCTGATGATTACGACTTCAACCTTGTCCCGAAGAAGTCAGTTGTTTCGTCGTCGTCGTCGTCGTTTAGATTGAAAATTGCTCCGAACCGTGCTCTGAAATCACTTTAACAGAGGATGCCCGACACAATCTAGATCTCATCTCTTTCTCGAGTCCGGCGAAGAATTCGAATTCGGCGTATTACAACGTGGAAAGAAAAGCAGTCCATCGCGAGTATCGCGAGTATTACGTGCGTTTATTATTGAGTCAGTTAATCGCGCGATAAGTTTCTCGATTCGCGTTCGCCGCTTAATCGCCGTGTCAATTGGAATTGGAACGAAACAATGCGAAATATTGTCGCGACACTCTGTTTTATTGTTATATTGTTATGTTGTGAAAATTAAACCGTGCGCGAGAAGACGAACGGTGATGATACGTGTGATATTTACAACGATATATTCGAAAAGACTCCAGAGACCGTTTGAGTTTTTATTCGCACGCGCCAAGCTATGAACGGACGGCCGAAAATATAAATCGGGAATCTCGCTTAATTCGTAACAATGACACGATATTCGATTTCGAGTCAATGATCCTCACTGCGCCTGCGGTTGAGTTTCGGCGATTCGCTGTTCCGTGTTTTGTGCTGGTATTAGGTAATGAGCGCCAGACGCCGAGAGGCGTGATCGTATGTTTGTCGGACTACTTCTCCGCCATTATACAAGATGGCAAAAATAATGTCATGTGGTAGACGACGCTTCGAGCTTGTCGAGCTAGGAAAATCCGCTAATAAACGAACGGACCCGTTAATTCGAGTCGCGTGAAATTTTAGACACACGAATCGGAGGACAAACACTGTACGACTGCGAAAATATGGGAGGTGTGTGTGTGTGTGTGGGGGGGGGGGGGTGTGGATCGAAAAGCGCGTTTATGAGGCACGCCGATAGTATTATTTTTAGACTTCTTTTATAGCGCTTCTCGCTTACAGACTGATCTCGCGATAATGAATGAAGGACAAGAGCATGCTGCAAATTCTAATCCGATAACAAATTTACATACGCGTCACATATGGATGCACACATATATATACATATTTGTCTGAAACAAACACTTAGACAAAGTGTTTAATAAAATCGTAGTGCAACTGGTAAGGAGGTGAGTTTGTAGAAAAAAAAGGCGTTGAAACTGCGAACATTATAATTTGTTTATATTACATATGAATAATTAAATAAAAATAATGATGATGAAGTTAGTATTATATATGAGTACAGTTATATATTCGACACACACACACACACACACCCCCATACCCATTTTCCACACGATTCTTCGTTTTCGAGACAATCGTCTCTCTGCAGAGGATTGTTCGACAATTAATAACGACCTTTTGCATTTCTCGATTATTAATCAATTTATCCATGTTCACAGGTATCCGCTTCTCAATGGATGTCTCGCGAGACGAAGTTAAGGCTTTATCAGCTTTAATGACATTCAAATGTGCATGCGTCGACGTGCCCTTCGGAGGTGCGAAAGCGGGTATTAAGATCAATCCTAAGAATTACTCCGAACACGAGTTGGAGAAAATCACCAGGAGATTCACGTTGGAATTGGCGAAGAAGGGTTTCATCGGTAAGAAGCTTGTGCATCGCGCTAGAAGGGAGAAAGAGGAGAGCGGGGCAGGGGGAGACTTCGACGGAGATCATCTCTGGCGTTACATCATCGTAAATGGGTGTGATGCGGCGCGGAGGCGTGTGTGACGTTTGCGCGCGATAATTTTAGATGCCGCCCGAGGAGGCACCGCCTACCTTCGAGGCGCGACTCTTTCAAAATGATGATTAGCGTCGTACGATCGACGTGGTCATACGTGGTTACGTCACAACAGAGCGCAACGGAGCGAACACGTGGTGAGCGGGCAACAGCAGCTGCGTACCGCGATTGCTGCGGGCCGATTGATCGTCATAAAAAGATTGATCAGCCCGTGTGCGCGAGTATGACACATGGCGAATCTCTTAAAACGGGTGCTCTGTTTGCTCACACGTTCGCGAAAACGCGGGAACAAGAGAGCGCGAGATTCATTATTAACATCGAGTGTCGAGTGTCGAGTGTCGAGCGGGCAAATCGCGGTAGCGCGTTTACAGGACGCGCAGCGTGTAGCAGATAACGGCGATAAGCGCACACCGATACGCTGAGATTAGGAGACGCGTGAAGCGTGCAAACAGATTAGCCTCGTCCACTCGCGATGCAAGATTGCACAGGGGAATTAATATTCTACAAATTATTTACCTCGCGCGATATAGAATGAGAATTTTTGAATGAGACGCCTTCGAATGAGGGCGCGTGCCGCTCCCGCCCGACGGATTTAAGACGGCAGAAGACACGACGGAGTATTTCTCAGATATGTCTCATCTCTTCTCTTCAGGACCTGGCGTCGATGTTCCCGCGCCTGACATGGGCACCGGTGAACGAGAGATGTCCTGGATAGCCGACACCTATGCGAAGACTATCGGCCATCTCGACATTAACGCTCACGCTTGTGTCACCGGTAAACCTATAAATCAGGGTGGTATTCACGGTCGTATCTCTGCGACAGGGCGTGGAGTATTCCACGGCTTGGAGAACTTCATCAATGAGGCTAATTACATGAGCATGATTGGTACGGCGTCGGCAACACTTTAATTCGTAGTTTAACTCTTGATTGTAGCTAGTCAAAAAGTTCGCGTCGATTCTTGAATTCTGGACAATTGGACCGTTGACAGTATTGACAGAGATAAAGATACAACATCGGACCATCGCAATCGCGTCATCATTGTTCTACATTCCGGCAACATACATTCACTTTCGTCGCGGAAGGCTTAGTCTAGTGAGGCTTTATATAAGGAAGAAAGAAGATGTAAAATATTAAAAAAGAAAAAAGAAAAAAGAAAAAAAAACCACTATACTCTTTGAACTTGTGTTATATTGAATATTATGTATATTACTTGATAATATCTTATCATTGTGTGTGTGTGTGTGTAACAATTGGCAGGTACCACGCCAGGCTGGGGAGGCAAGACGTTCATTGTGCAAGGTTTCGGTAACGTAGGTCTGCATTCCATGCGTTACTTACACCGCGCCGGTGCCGCTTGCATCGGTGTAATCGAACACGATGGGTCCATTTACAACTCGGAAGGCATCGATCCGAAGGTGATTGCCCAGCGCATTTATCTCGGCATTCTCTCAACTCCCCATCCCCTAATTACGATCCCCTTATCTTCTATGATACCAGTAGAACACTGCGTAGCGTTCCATCGGTGTATTATATAGTGTATTGTCAATATTATGTTGTGTATTCAATGTCATTATTACATGGCAATTGTAATTACGATTGTTTATTTGCGTTTCAGGAATTGGAAGAGTATCGCATAGAAAACGGCACTATTGTCGGCTTTCCCGGGGCTAAGCCGTACGAGGGCGAGAATCTTATGTACGAACCATGTGATATATTTATACCTGCTGCCATAGAGAAAGTAATTACCAAAGAGAACGCCGGACGTATCCAAGTGAGAATCACTTTGGCATTAATATTAAGCTCTAATCTAAGCTAAGTCAATTAATCAACAACGAACGAGACACATCGAATCGTGCAGCGGTTGAATAACGGTGCGATCTGAACCTCTACCGTACTACTCTCCCCTACGCAGGCAAAGATCATCGCGGAGGCTGCTAACGGACCGACCACTCCCGCTGCGGATAAGATCTTAATCGACAGGAATATACTCGTGATTCCAGACCTGTACATTAACGCCGGCGGTGTTACGGTCTCGTTCTTCGAGTGGCTCAAAAACTTGAATCACGTGTCGTACGGCCGTCTGACTTTCAAGTACGAGAGAGAATCTAATTATCACCTCTTAGGTACGTCTCATGTCCGTCGAGGAAGCGCGCTAAACGCGCGTGTCATGCGTTATCTTTCTTTTTTCTTTTTTTTTTTTAACAATGTAATCGATGTATGCTCACAGAATCGGTGCAGGAATCTTTGGAGCGCAGGTTCGGTCGCGTCGGTGGCCGTATTCCTGTTACGCCGTCTGAAGCCTTCCAGAAACGTATTTCCGGTGCTTCCGAAAAGGACATCGTCCACTCCGGTTTGGATTATACGATGGAAAGATCCGCCAGGGTAATTATCGAGAGAGACTGATCAATGTAATATTGCGTCAGTCCAAAAGTTCGATTTAACTTAATTGTCGAGTCAAATTCGCGATCCTTGCGAGAACAAAAATGTTCATCGATCGAGTAATCGTCGTGATGGTTATTTATGACGATCCTTCGTTCGTTGGAAGGAAAGAAGATAACCGATTTCGTGCCGTCCAAAAAATAGAAAATATCACCGAATCACTTTTGATGACTGGACCAACTTATTTGAAGTTACATTATTTTAAGCCACATATAATGGAACACCACAACACCAAGCTGGACACAAATGACTTTTTCCGTTATTTCTTTTTCTCGCAGGCCATTATGAAGACTGCCATGAAATTCAACCTTGGTCTCGATCTGAGGACGGCCGCTTACGCAAACTCGATCGAGAAGATATTCACCACTTACTCGGAAGCTGGTCTCGCTTTCTAAGTATTAGTCATAATAAAATGAAACGCAGCGAATAATAAAGAAGGCCCCGAGAACAGAGTCAGTTTTACCGTATGACTGCAAGAAGTGACTCCGTATCGCTCAAGGGACAACTCAAGGAACAGCTGTTGATCGCGACGAGCCGCTGCGACGAACACTGTGACTTGTAGACTCGTTTACGAAACTACTGAATACATTTCGCCCGATAAAGTTAAGGGCCCATCAAACGGTCAAACCATTGTGAGCCACCGCTTACGCGGTGGGCTCGTCGGTGTGGTAATCGGTTGTGACAAAATACATGAATATGATAAATATATTGGCTCTTTGTTTTTGTTGCATTATTATGTGAGATAAAAATATAATAAATGCACCTGGGTCTTTCTCTGAATCCTCGGTCAGCTGACCGTCAGCTCACTTCATTCAGTCGAACGTCGGATATCTCGCATGTATTGTCATGTTGGCTGTGGTAACAAATTACCGCCCAGACTCGTGAATAATGAGTTTCTCTTTTACGCGCGCGCTCTCCCAATTTCATCTTCGGTCGAGAAAAGTACGTTTCGCAAACGAGTGTACATTTATCATTCGTCACGTTCTCTGCATCGTATATAGCAATTTGCCTAGTACATACACATATATAGAAGATTGGTGTAAAAAAAAAAATTGGATATATATCACGTTACGCGTTACGCGAAATCGTTGAAGAGACACTATGATGATGAGCGTTGGAGAGGAGGAAGACACATCGACCTCTGTGTCGGCAAGAACAGATTATTGAACAGTCGGATACAAGACCAGTGCATTTTTATATTTCACTTTTTATGCATATATCGTTATAATATACATACATATATAAGATCGCGACACGGTCGAGTCGGACAGCTATTTGTAATCCGCCATTTTTTCTCGAATGTACAACAGTGTAACGACAACGTACGATATTCTATCGTCGATCGCGCCAACACAAATTGAAAGTATTCGCGAATGTTATAATCTCGCTACGAGAGATCATTGTTATTAAAGTAAGATGAGAAGAGCAGCGATGTAACACAATAGCAATATGGTATAATTCGAACGTTATAAGACGCACGTGTAAGAGATCCTGTTGCGGAAAAAGTATAAAGGACACGCCAAGATGTACTCAATTTCGAAACAGCTTGCGATTCGTGTGTACGCCATCGAGACGCCATCTTGTCAACGATATTTGACAGACGTTTAACAGACTATTTAAAAACGGGTGTGCCATTGTTTCGATTGCATTTTAAATCATGAAAATAAATCAACCGATGGGGTTATGACTGCAGCACACGTCTTCGTCGATTTAATTCACAATTTGGTTATTGACCTTTCGTACTTTCCGCTTCGGTATATATATATATATATCTCTCTCTCTCTCTCTCTCTCTCTCTCTCTCTCCTTGACTCGCCTTTTATTACCAGATACATACGTATGAAGGTGAGTTCGTCAGTATAGCGCAAATGTGTTCGTTCTCACATATTTTATTCATCGACGATGAATTGTGCACAAAATCCGTATATATATATTTTAAGTTACATAGAATATGTGTGCTCTGTGCCTTTTCTCTCAACATTGGGTACATTATCGAAAAGTCAACGTGAGATATAGGTACGTCAAAGAAAAGAAAAAAAAAAGAAAAAGAATGCCGAGCCGAATTTATAAAGCAACGAGACGGCATTTGCCCTGTTGTCGAGTTTTAGCAATATTTCATATGTACGTACAAAAGCCCATTATCAAAATGATGATCAGTGCACAGTCATCTTACACACATTTTCTTTTAAACAATTAATTATATAGTAACCAAGCATTGGTTTTTCGATCGATACGCGACGCTCTTGACGCGTGGTCGTGTAAACGTCAACGATGTCAAAAGCAACGATGCCATTCAAGAGGATAAATCGTCAAATTGACGATCATGAATAAAACAGAAATTATTTGTGCAGATTTTGTATAGGGCCGATAAACGAGAAATGTGTCGAATTTCATTCAAAGCTGCTGCATGTCCCGATAAGCATGTCCGTGATATTTTTGTTTCTTTCGTGGATGCAGTTAACAATGAGGAATCCTCATTCTTCAAAAACGAACACGAACGCTTCACGTAATCGAAAATTAAATAATCTCGAAACAAGAGGACAAAAGGAGAACCGCCAAAGACTGAGGGAAAGAGGCGGAGAGAGGAAGAGGAAGAGAGAGAGAGAGAGAGAGATCGATCGATCGATCGATCGCGCGCAGGCGATCACGCGCAGGATATTTTTATCAACCGCGCGCGCGACTCGCGAGACCGCATATTTCGATGCGCGGATATATTGCCATTTCGCGATATCCACAAATAGCTCGTGTATGCACGGTAACGCTCGTGTATGGCCGAGCCGGACAGCCGCGTGCATACTACTACTACTACTACTACTACTACTACTACTACTACTACTACTACTATTACTACCGCTACTCGCCGGGGCGGCGCCCGTTCTATAAAGCGTCGCGACGCCGCGACGACGACTTCATTCGTCCTGTCGCTACTCCTGTTAACGGTGCATACCATCGACAAGGCGCAAGGTGAACAAGAGAGAAGAGAGCGAGGACATTTTTAATTCCCTCCCTCCTCCTCCTCCTCCTCCTCCTCCTCCTCCCCCCCTCCAGCGAGTCGAGGCGAAAGATCGAGTTCCGGAGGCTGTCTGCCTGATCGCCCATCGTCTCGTGGAACACGAACGAGATTCGACGCGAATCCGGCCATTGGCCGCTGCAAAATTCCAAGAGTGGATAAGGGTAGGCGAGGGTGGATGACCTCTCGGTGAATTCGTGTCTCTCTGTGTGTTTACCCACGCCGCCAGGGGAGTTGGAGCATGCTGAACGAGGACGCGAAAACCACCACCCTTCGACGTTCTTCCTCTCTCTCTTTCTCTCTCTCTCTCTCTCTCTCCCGCTCCCTTTACCTACCTACCTACCTACCTACCTCTCTCTCTTTTTCTCCTTTCTCCCTTCAGTGCATTCGTGAGTGCGATTAGATAGTGCGCCCGTGATCGTGGATCTAGAGGAGAGTGAAATCGCGTGTCGCTGATGCGCACCGACCTACCCACGTGTAATCTTGTTTGTATTAAGCGTAACGATGAGCGCATCGAACGCATTCAGAGCCGAACGCTCGACGTCGCAACGGAGATCATAGTGTTACGCGAGAAAGACTCTGAATTAATTTCCACATACATATATATATATATATATATATATCTAGTATATTTCTTTATTTCTTAATCTCGGCGAAATGTAAAACACTCCTGCTGCGTACTTTGTAATCTTGCTCTCTCGAGACATTTTACTCATGCACGCCGCGTCACACGTCTTACGGAGATTGTTGTTCGACTGTTCGTTTAGGTGGCGAGGTTCGAATCGCGTGTTAATCCGACCGACATACCTATGGCGACTATAAGCAACGGCAATGGATCAACGATACAGATCAACACACGGCCCGACGACATCCGCAAGCGGATCATTGGATGTGAGTCACTTCCAATTGACGTTTACAATACGCTCGAGACGGTGCGTGTGTGTGTGTGCGTGCGTGCGTGCGTGCGTGTGTGACGGAAGGGTCAATCGTGCAAATTAATGCCTCGCACTCGTGTACATCTCTGTCACGTTTCAAGTACGCGTAAGAGAAAAACGAGAGCAAACTGAGAAAACTGAGGAGAGACTCCGCTCAGCTTCGCTCGATGCTTCTCGTCGCTAATTTCCCAATAGTTTTTCCTTATTCTTCTTTTCCTTAGAACACCGCTCTCATCCGTCGGTGATATTTCACGCGCGCTCGAAAGAGAAGGAATTACACCTCGTTAATGTCCCAACGATTATTCCATAGCGTATACGTGGCGGAAATCGAAGCGTACTCGAAGGCTCAGGCACAGGCAGAGCTATAATGTAGCCGCGCTGAAACACACCAGCGACAGAGAAATGAATTATTTGACGAGTGTAAAGAAGGTCGAATATATACTCGTATACGCAGTCAAACTTCAACATTGTGGCCCCGGTAAAGTCGCCTCGCGCGCGCGCGCGCGCGATAGTTTGCCGGCAATTTCAGCAGGACAGGATATTCGTCGAGTTCGCGTTTAAAATGGGTCACCCAGTGTCTGTCACTGCCTCTACCTTTGACATTCGCGAGCGATATTGAACAAGAGTTTCCCGGAGAAACTCTCCCCCTTTTTTCCGCCGCAAGACCGCGAATTCCTTCGCGAATGAAATCAGTCGTAAATTCAGTCGTAAATTCAGATGGAAAGTACGCAATCCGCACTCCGAATACTGATATCCGACGAATAAATCGCTCGCTTTGTAGTACCCAGCGGGATATCTAGGCTGCCAACGAAAATAGTAGCTATACACTCCCGGTGCAATTCAGTGCAATTCACCGCTGTCGGAAATAGATCTCGCATGGCGCACCGCGTTTTCGCGTGGGAAGATGCAACGCGCGTCGATTTGTATTCGCTCGGCAGCTCGGCTGCATTTTCGCGCGTGACGTGAAAATTGACGAAGATGTGAATGGGGGTGGCTTTCTTGTTTCGCCGGTGAACCCGGCTGATCATCGACCGTACGTGGTAAAGAGCGTGGAGCGAGTCGTTTGTACAATGCGCGCGCGCGCGAATTACACTCCAAGTGGAAAGAGTCGTGCATGGACGGCCAATTTTGACGCGCCGCGCCGTCCTTTCTCGCGTGACCGCATCCCGTGTATACAGTATTTTTTTCAACGTCTACCGCGGGCAATGTCCCTCCATGAATTCTACAGCATGTAATGTTGAAATGATACATTTTTCAGAAGCATCCGACAACAAATCAAGACAAATTGTGATTATTTAACGCTCGATATTCCAGCAGAAATCCACTGCGTCGCCGATTAGCGACGCTCGCTTTGGTAGGCTCCAAGCTGCAGAAAAACGCGATACGCGAACGACTGCGGCTTTTATGAAAACAGCGGTCTTTGTCCGCTCGTATCGAGACCTATGGAGATCAAACTCGAGGAAATTGCTGATGATATCGTGCTGATAGCATTCTCGAGATCGTACATCACTTGGACGAGATCCTCTCTTCCGCCGAGCCTATCGTATCGTGTCGTGTAATATAACGTACATCAGATAACGTTGAGAAACGATCATTCGCTCGGGTCGCGAACAATACGCGAAGCTCAATAAAACAAAGGGAGACAACGTGTACCCGCGTTTGACGATCGGAGAAAATTGCGAACGACAAAATTGAGCGACGAGTGAAGATATTTTCGCTGTGGAAAGGTCGATTTCGAACGGTCGGTCGAAGATCGCAACAGAAGGAAAGTGGCTCGCTAGGTCTGGGACGCTCCGTATAGACGTACACGTGAACTTGGAATGCTTTAGCATTCACCTTGCGTCTAGAGTTTTCTATAGACTTGCTATAAGCGCATCATCGGGTTTTATTCGCGGTGTTATTCGCGGAAATAGATCGAACCAACGATCTATATCCAACGAAGGTACGAAAAATCCATCGTCTGTATGCAATACGATGTGTCCGATCGCGGTGACGCGATTCCGAATGACGAATGACGGAATCGCGCGAATTCGCCCTCTCTCCCGCCCCCTTTTCTTCTTTCCGTGAAATTGTCACAGAACAATACCCACGTATCGTGGAACGTCGTCGTGATCGTGGTCCTATCTGATAACTCGCCGTGTTGCACAACGCCGTTTCGCACGTGCAATTGATTACACGGCGATAAACATCGCGAGCGACATTAATAGACACGACGACGAGCCGGTGCCACGTAGACGCGGCGGTTGTAGCTTTGTGTAAAAGGTCCGACAAAATTACAACTGACAATGAGAATCGTTCTCATGCTAAAAGTAATGATGCGCGAGATGTCTGTGAGAACGAAATATTAGGTCAAACCAAAAAGTTCGATTCGATTTCCCTGCAGTCAAATCTGGCTTTGTTGCCCTCGAAACCGAATGGAAACCGAATTAATTAAATAATTGTTTTATTACCTCAATTCAATTATCATTGATCCGCAGATTTTTGAAAAAATCGAAAGTCTTCTCGCTGAAAGTCTTCTCTCGGCGCTAAAACTCGGATGAAAAGCAGAAGGTCGTTTTTCGACCGCGCCACCTTCGGTACATATCTGCCCCCAAAAAAAAGGGAAGGGTATCGAGAAAAATCTAAGGGTCGAGAAAAATCTAATCTGATCGCTTTGCCAACGAGGAGGACCGCGTCGGCTGTTAGACCTGAACTTCGCCCAGGTACGCCGTCATCCGCGAATAAAAAAAGGCAGGCAGGCAGGCAGGCAGGCAGGGTGCAAGCGCGAGTGGAAGGGAAAGCGCGGGGTGCAAGGGGAGAATGAACGAGCACAGGAGGGAGAACAGGGTGGATAAGCGTGGAGATGAAGCGCGGACTAGATGAAAGCGGACGGAGGGAGGGAGAGCAGCGAGCGAGCAGCGAGGGTGGCTACGCGCATCTCGCGCATGCTGTTTCGCCGAGGGTGACCAAGAGAAACAGGGATGAATCATGGGACTTGACTGGCGTGAGAGGGAGAGAGAGACGGTCGGCCGTATGTGGGCGTCTAGTCGTGGTGAACCGTGCGAGGTGAATAACGCGCTCTGCGATCCCGGCTCCGCGTTCTTCAGCTGTCGATTCCCGACTCGCATTTATCCCGACGCGATATCTTCCCTTCGGCGAGCGAGGAGATTGCGAGTCGCTTCGATCGTGCTGCCTTACCCGGCAGAGTGGGCAAAAATTAGGATCTAGGACCACCCGGGCGGCGGCGACCCTACGAGATGACGGACGGACGTAAGCGAATGACGAGTTGAGAGCGAGGACGAGAGAGGAGGGCGGGGGGAGGGCGGGGGCGGATCCTCCTCAACAAAGGGACGGACGAAGATGTTCATCGGAGGGTGATGTGCGATGATCGGAGGATGCTGATATCAGCGGCGATATTTTCTCGCGAACTCGCGATTTGCAAATCTGATCTGAATATCGGGAATCGGGAAAAATCGTGCCTCCTCTCTTCCGCCCGTCGCGGTTGTGTTCGCGTCTGTCCGCAGTGTGACAATCCGAGAGGAGATCGCATCGGCGACGTAATAAGTTTCCGATCGAACATCGAGAACGACTGAGCAATATCATTGAGCTAGTGTAGTTATAGTGCTCGCTTTTCCATCGGTTGCTCCTCTCCACGGTCGTACCGCCGATCTTAATCGCGCCCGATCTTAATCGCAGCGCGTACGCAACGTAGAAACGTGGCCGAAGGCTTTGTTCCTCGAGCGGAGTAGTTATCTCATTTCTCAAATGTAGGTTGTGTGTGCACGACGTATGACGTATGTGTATATTGATCGGCACGTAAAGGCAGCCGAAGGCATCGGTAGAATCAATGGCAATTGTAAGCGCTTACCAATATATAGCCAAGGTATAGCTAGCTGCGAGCTACGTGAACGTCTCCTGCGAAAATACGTCGCACACAGCGCGAGCGCTAAAACATGATCTTAGCAAATTCGCTGAAGATACCTTGTGCGAGAGATCTCGCACAATATCAGCAATTCAAAGAAGAATTCAAGGGCGTTCGTGCGTTCAAGCACCCCGGTTTCTCCGTTCGAAATAATCCGTGCGTACACATATCAGCAACAGTTGTCACGCGCGAGTCGGCGCGACTTGCGCGCTCTGCAAAAAAATCGCGTGAATATCATCAGATATTTTTATCATTACAATATTATATGAGAAAGGGAATGTTAATTAAACACGTCGAGAGAGAAAGAGAGAGAAAGAGTCGTGCGTCAACGACGACCGTTTGTCAACGCGCGCGCGCTTTGGCGATGAAGAAATAAGTTTATGTACGTCATGTGCACAATTATATTAATTGCGTTAGGCGTATCAGCGACGAACGGCCTGTTCATGTCGCAGCTACATAACAGCGGCTAATAAGACATATCTATTAATATATAATTTGTTTTGATTCTTCGCGATAATATCGTCGGGCGGTATGTCGCTGTTTAAACAGCGAGCCGAATACCGAGTACAATGCGCGCTCCTTGTCGCCATAGCGACGAGAACGATGACAGATACACACACGCAGGGGGATGAAGAATTATCATATAACACTGCGTCTGTTCGCACGAAATCATTTCGCATTCCGTTTATTTAATGCCGACGGGCATTAGCGTTGTTCGCGAAAGCTCACACAAGTTTCATTGTACGAATGAGTGGAGTCCGTACTTTTGCGAAAGAGGACGGCACGAGACGGATTCTCCAAGAACGATGCACGCGACTTACTTACGCGACAAAATGTACACGGACCAAAATTTTCTTTATTTTTTTTCTTTCTTTCTTTCTTTCTTTCTTTCTTTCTTTCTTTCTTTCTTTCTTTTGACTAATTGGCTTTGTGCGAATACTCGATTCGATTCGATTCCACGGACGAGCTTATTCTGTTCTCCTGTAAAATTAAAAATTCCTTGTGTTCGTTGGGTTCGTTCGTGCGAATCATGTGTTAATAGAATCAATCCTTTTTCCTCGCATACGCGACTATTAGCGCCGTTCGAAAGAGAATATCTTTCTCCCTTTTGTTCATCTATAATGGAACATCGCGAATCGAATCGATGTAATCTGCATCTGTGCTAAATTAGCCGATACCCGAGTGAGTTATTTCGACTGGTCACTCACACGTCGATAATGAGGCGGTCGTTTCGATACTCGTTTCGAAAAGGCGTGTTTGTGATCTCGCGAAGATAAGTCGAAGAACACCGTCGACCGTAATAGTATTGGTGGACCCAAGTGGTGGAGACCCAATTATCTGGCTGGAGAGTAAAGAAAAAGCTAGGTCAAAGTCACGGAGCCACTGACATTATCGCAGACAGCGTTTTACCACAAAAAGTCAACATTACGGCACGCCAGTGACAATTACAGCGCGCTCGATATCTGTCGATGTCGCCGTCTTTCATTATCTGATGCCAAGTTTCGGATGACACATGCTGTCCGATAATATTCGGCTCTTCTCCTACCTGAGACTACCTGTCAAGTGATATATGTAACTGGAAACTAGACCAACTGAGACGACGACGACGACGACGACGACGACGACGACGACGACGTCGTCTCAGTCTTTCTTTTCCTTCATTTCCGGCTCGGGGGAGAATGTCGGTCGGCTTCCTCGGTCTCTTCGGTTTAATTCAATTTAATTTCGATACTCAATTACACATTGAATTACAACGTCGGAGCGAAAGAAATCACGCGAATCTTTTTCTGCTACATACATGTCCAAATAAATTGATTTTGACGAATCGTCCCGTAACTGATTGCGCATGTGACGACTGGCAGAATGTCGATATCTATGGAATTTTATAATAATTTACAACGGGATTGAAAAATTAAATTCGGTGATTTGGTTTCAAGGGACGATGAAACGATAATAATTTGGGCGATGAATATATGTGAGATTGAACTCAAATATTTCTTTTGTTCGTGTTTTTATTAAAATTTTTCGACCTACACAGTCCATCCATTTTATCGGTAACCGACAATCTCCTCCTTTTGCTGCAGCAAAAAGAGCGATAATAATACAACAAATTGTTGTCATGCATTGCAGCAGATGACAGCACGCAAGGAGATGCGACGACATGCGGCAACATCCTGGTCATATTATCGTGGATCGTAGTGATCGTTACGATGCCGTTCTCCCTCTTCGTCTGCTTCAAGGTGAGATTCGAGAGACTCTTCGTGCGTTGAGCCGTGGAGAAAATGTATCATTCTCCAGCCTAGAATACATTATATAGTTTGCCAATAACGTGATTCGGGAGCGGCATTTGCTGACAAACAATGTTAGCCCGATGTAACTATAGTTACCAGTCGGACATTTATAAACTCTATTCACGCGGAATACGGTTTGTATATAGTTGTTTCTTCTCTCTCTCTTTTTCTCTCTCTCTCTCTCTCTCTCTCTCTCTCTCCCTCTCTCTCTCTCTCTCTCTCTCTCTCTCCCTCTCTCTCTCTCTTTCCCTTTCTTCCTCCCTCCCCCTCTATCCTCTCTGTTGATAACTTTATTGTTAGATCGCGGGTCATTGGGTGATATGCATCACACAGGGCGCATAACGACTATCGTGCGCGCTCGTTCTTTGAGCACGCCATAGCGGCTCAGCGCTTCTCTTGTCGTGGCGCGATCTTTCGTGTTATTTTGCATTAAATAATTAATTCCGCGATGGACGCTGGATACCGATCCGCGTCGTCGTACTGCCGCGTTTGTCGATCTTTTCCCACAAGAGTAAACTTTCGACTTTCTCATCAGTCGCGGATAAATTAGTCTCGGATAAGAGAGAACCACCACGAAAAGAAAAAGAAGATGTTTGCTGAAAATGTTGCTCGACTTGAATTTGCAGGTTGTGCAGGAGTACGAGAGGGCTGTCATCTTTCGATTGGGCCGTCTTCTGTCCGGCGGTGCCAAGGGTCCCGGTAAGATTCGCACGCGCTGGAGTGCACATCGCGCGGACGTAATTCGTTTAATTACGGCCACACGAGGCGCACTGTTGCGTGAGAGAATTCTTTACATCGCTCGACTGTAAAATTCAAGATCGATAATCCGCTGAATAATTCGGTTGATATTTAAAACGCCCTTTCGCAACCGCTTTCTCTCTCTCTCTCTCTCTCTCTTCTTTTTTCCTCTTCTTTACTTGCGGAATATATGACTTTGACATTTCGAAATCATCAAATCAATCTCGGTAGTGAGTGACTGCTTGTCGAAACGGTTCTATCGAAAATCCTAATCGCACGTGTGTGTGCTTTCAGGAATCTTCTTCATCCTGCCGTGCGTGGACAATTATGCGCGTGTCGACCTGCGAACGCGAACTTACGACGTGCCACCGCAAGAGGTAATGATTTCATCGCACTAACGTGCGAGAATCGCCAATTCTTTTGTACCTTCGCGCGAATCGTCAATCACTCAGGCAGACGTTGGAAGAAACGTTTCTCTAATTCACTCCAATTCACCACATTCATTGAGGTCCTGACGAAAGACAGCGTTACCGTGTCCGTTGATGCGGTGGTTTACTACCGCGTGAACAACGCGACCATCTCGATCGCGAACGTGGAGAACGCTCATCACAGCACAAGACTCTTGGCCCAGACCACCCTGAGGAACACCATGGGAACGCGACCTCTCCATGAGATACTGAGCGAGCGCGAAACGATCTCGGGAAATATGCAGGTGAGCGTCTCAACGCGACACAAACACGGGATTTAAAAGCCAAATAAGTATTAGAATTTGGGAGACGTTCGAATTTATTGGCGATTCGAGCGACCGCTGCTCTCGAAGCGGCGCATGGAATGGCACGTACGTATAGACGCGGATCGATTTAATCGCGAATGCATTAATCGTATCTCGAATGGATAAAATTAAATATGCAGTAATCACGCTTTAATGAACTCGCGACTGATATTTTCGGTACAGGTTTCCTTGGACGAAGCCACTGACACTTGGGGAATTAAGGTGGAACGAGTCGAGATGTAAGTAGATGGAGGTCAACTCTTAGGTCGGTCGAGAAGTTTAGCTCGATTTTCGCATTAAAATTTATAACGTTAACATCTTTCCGTCCCACCGCCGTCGCCGTCGCCGTCGCCGTCGCCGTCGCCGTCGCGTGAGACTGTATCTCAGCCGTGTTCTTCTGCCCTCGAATCTTTTTACCGACCCGACAGACGCGTAATTGCGTGAAAAACGACGCAGATCTATTTGCACGGTGTTTTACAGCAAGGACGTGCGACTGCCCGTTCAACTGCAAAGAGCCATGGCAGCGGAAGCCGAAGCTGCGCGTGAAGCACGCGCTAAAGTAAGAAATTCGATCGAGTGAAATCCGAGTTCTTCTTATTTGCGATATATACCCAGAAGTGTCATCATTTTTACTCGATAATCTCGCCAGGTAATCGCCGCGGAGGGTGAACAGAAGGCCAGCAGAGCTCTGAGGGAGGCGTCGGAGGTGATTGGCGACTCGCCGGCCGCCTTGCAACTTCGCTACTTGCAGGTAAGGATTAATTTACCATTATCAATGAGGGATCGTCAGTTTCAAATGGACATCGATTGACCAGAAAACAAAAGACAAATAAAGATAAAGAAAGAAAAGTCAAATATATATCGTGTAAGTGGGACTTTTCGTTGTCTGCTGGGGAGATCAAACGAAAAAAGACTGCAATATTTCTCCTCGAATTTGAGCTTCGCACAACGTATTATTCTGCATCCAATGGGAAGATATCTTTTTCCTGAGACTTGTACTAAAAATAAATTCTACTATTGGATTCGCACTTGGTTCGCAGAAACAGAGAGATTCTCGCAACAGATTTCTACTCAGTTGTTTCCAGTTGTATCTCAAGCGAGTTTCTGGCAGGCAGCCGAATATTCAGAGTATTTTCGCTCGCGATAATAGAGATATCATTTCTCGTCAACGAATCTGCTCTCCGCTCTCTGTTACACGGATTGAGACTCTCGTTTCTCTCGTCGATAACGCAATTTGGCTTTTTTCTTTCCGGATATTTTTCCTCATGTACCTCACATGTTTTTCCTCATGTACCTCACATGTTTTTCCTCATGTACCTCACATGTTTCGTTTTGTCACTTTCATAGACATTGAACACGATATCGGCGGAGAAAAATTCCACCATCGTATTCCCGCTGCCGATCGATATGCTGACTTACTTCATGAAGGCTTTGCCGAAAGAATAATCGCAGGAGGTGGAGGGACGTCGCGGGACTATTGAATAGAAAGACCAGATGACGGTTCCCCCGGGATCCTGTTCGCGGGGTCGCGGACGAGGAGTTTCTTTTCGGCGAATTATCCATACTTGTACTTGACACGCTTGTGTATACATCTCGATAATAGAGAGTTGCCAATATTCGACCAATCTCACGACGACAATTTTCGATTCTACAGGCTACACACGTATATTATCGTAATGATCGTAATGACGACTACACGAAGAGAAATTGAACGACACGTAAGTGCGTTTTCGTGTAGAATTGACTCGCGGGGTGTGGGGATGCACTGACATCAGCACAGACTGAAACGTATTTTTGGAAAATCTTACAAGGTTATTTTACGCGTTTTACGTGCTGTAAAGCTGTATAGCATATGTACATAGAACGTAACTGTGAACGACGTTATAATGTTCGAATGAATTGAATTATATACCTAGTTTTGCGCGCTGACGGATATACTTGTTATACCGTCTTCGACGCGCGGCGATACTTTCACTTGCGTCGTGTGTGTGTGTGTATATATATATATATATATGTGTATATATATATATATATATATATGCTTGATTAAAAAAAAAGAATCAAACGGCGACAAGGAACGTACGACGGAGTCGATCGATGAGGCAAGATTGAAGAGCCGAGTACCAAGCCGCGCTTACATTAGATCTCGCACTGCCACTAACGCCAGAGACAAAGGGCGATCGATCTCGCGATACGCGTTAACGCAATTCACGCTCGTCGGTCACATAAAGAATTCGTCGTTCAAACAATGACAACTTTTAATCAACGTTAAGGGAACAGCTGTTTCTTCAGGTGTCAATTTCACGACGATGCACGGACGCAACAAGACTGTTGTCGATAACGGATAACGACTAATGAAAAAAAAAAGAAAGAAAAAGAAAAAGAAAAGAACTTCCGGCATCTCGCCTAGTCGCTACGGTACTAAATTGTATTTTACGTCTAAGAAAATGAAAGCACTTGAGTCGCCTATCAGTCCAGCGTATTCCACAAACCTCTAAGGTCTAATTAATTTTACGTGTCACGCACCACACATGTGTGAAATGTTTGTACTATAGCGGCCTGCGACAATTGTTTGGTCCAACATCGGCAACTCTTGCTAGCGATATTCATCAATTGTTCACTCGATCAATGGTATTTGCGCTTTGACGTTTCTACAATCTATCTCGTAAGAAGGAAGATCGTGTCATGTACATTTATGTGTACATGGACGATCTTACGAGAAAAATCTACAGTATTAGTTCCTTCGTAAAGTACGAAATTGAAAGTGAATGAGCAACACCTATTTGCTAAAGATAAACGTACAATAAACGTTAAATCATCGAAAGGTACGTGTGCGTCACGTAAACACGTTGATACTTTCCATGTTCGAAATTTTTCATTATACGAGGGGGAACAAACAAGTTTTCATATTATATATATATGTATATTAACGTTAGCTGTTTAAAAGGCAGATACTAATTATACTGAATGTAAATGACATGAGAACTCTATCCGAGATGTTTTAAAAGACTTATAAAGGAAAATTCATTGTAACTGTGATGGCTATCGTTAGGCTATCGTTAGAGATCGGTCTTGCTAGTCAACGATACCGTTGAACAAAGCGAGCCGGTCGTTTGCTCTTCCGCGTACGCGGGCTCGCTTCTCAACACAGCGAGATATTACGTAAGATTCGCATTTTCAAATAGAGAACACTTCGATCCGTAATGCATGTTAAATAATTTTAGAAAAAGAGAGAAGGAAAGATTGCAATATCACGTGACCATACGGTATTAAGCGACTGTAATTCGCGATTTTAACGTTGTTTCCGTCTTCTGACGACTACACACATATACATAAAAATAGCGTCTCGTTACTGCATACCTATACGTATAGTATATACACACATGTGTATGTGTGTGTGTGTGTATATATATATATATGTATATGTATTATATATGTATATGTATATGATTATCACCATTCTACGACCATTTCCAAATGTCACTGGGAGTTTCGGCATCTCCCAAGAACGAGATGGAGACAGCTACCTCTGCTTTTGTTATATGTACAAATGCATGTACACACGTCTGTTTATACACGTCGTTAACTTAAGTTACGTTAATTCACGACCTTTCGACCTTCGACCTTCTACGTGGATCTGTGGACGTTTTGTGAAAGAACAAAAAGAAAAAAAAAAAGAAAGAGCACGCACACACACGGATATTGTTATATACGTGTGTTTTAATCTTAATATTCTACCGTTACTATTATTCTGTACAGTTAATTGACTAAACAATTACGATAGCACGATAATAATCTACGACGTAATTTATCGTCCCTTTATCGTTCTTGATACTTTATTGACTGTTATACTTTGTGTGTGTGTGTGTGTGTGTGTGTGTGTGTGTGTGTGTGTGTGTGTGTGTGTGTGTGTGTGTGTGTGTGTGTGTGTGTGTGTGTATAATCAGTTCCGTTATAATTACACAATATTTGTTGAGAATCCGAGAAAAAACATATTTTTTCTTCCGGTCTAGCTCGATTTTGTAGTAATCCCGCGACCACATGCGATTGCTCTTTGCTCTACACGCGAGTATATGCGTGATGCAATACATCTAATGGAACGTTTCTCTGTTTCTCCTTTCTTTTGTTTTCCATAAAGATACGCATGTTGGTACCTTGCGATTTGTACGCGACAGCACGTTTTCATAAAACTAAACAATCAGTCGTTTTTTAAAGCGAAATCTTCGTATGTCAACGTAGTAAAGAATAAAAATGTGTGTGTGTGAGTGTTAAAAAGTTTCGAAATAAAAGTTCTGCGATTCTGCAAACTTACGTTTTCGTTCCTTCATTGCGCCAAACGTATATGTGTGAGTACGCGCCCCGTACAAGCGATGTTCATCTTCATCTTAATTTCGTCGTGCAGGGTTGTTGCACATAGTTGAGACAAAAGCCTCTGTTCCCGACGTCGCCGGGCGCCTCGGTGTTGTCTGTGTGAAAGATTAATCGAAACGGCTTGACGGTACCTGAAAATCGAGCAATCGATCGATCGATCGATCGATCAAAAATGCGGCATTCGTAGGAAAAATCGAACGGACAGAGTACTCGACATTCACATGACAACGGAAAGAAACACTCACTGATGACAGAGGAGCTGTTTAAATTCTGGGTATCCGCATTGAAGGTACCTCCGCACAGCCGATCGGAGCATATCAACGGTACTGTGGGCATTCTGCCCGAATTAATGGCACACGGAATCGCCAGCCAATCGGTCAGGCAAGATATACCCGTCATCGACGCGATCTGCGTAGCCTGCGTGTTCCCAGTCAATGTAAAAGCGTTGCTACGCATAATCTGCCCCGCTATTGTTGCACCGGCGGGCATCGTCATTTGAGTTGCTACGAACGGATAAATCTCGTTGAAAATACAGAACGAATAAAATCTTTCGAATAATTGGGTTATGTTTCTTTTCAACTTACTGTCATCGGTACACGCCATGTACTGGATCCCGCAGAAGTTCCTCTCCATCCGAATGCATATGCTGTAGTCCTGATTCGACAATTGCAATCCGCTCGTGGGATCGTAGTTGAAAGATTTTATCTGGCCGGAAACTCCGGTGAAGTACTGCAGGCAACCCTCCTCAGCGCGGTAAATCGTGCTGCATCGTATCTGCGAGATGCGAACTTTCCACGATCGTGGAAACGAGCTGCCACTCGTGACGAATGTCAGAGTAACCGGATTTGTTTGCCCGACGCCCGTGTCTATGTACACTATAAAGAGGAGAGACAGAGAGAGAGAGAGAGAGAGAGAAAAAAAAAAGAGTATTTAACTTACACCGGTCGAGAATGAAATGAATCAATTCTGCTTCATATTGTCTCTCTGGGTTGTCAATATGGGAATTATTGCGAGGTACTTACTGTGATTGCCGTTATTATTACCGCATATCGTTGGCACCGGATTGCCGCCGGAAACGATGAACTGGTCGTAAGTGCAGACATTGTTCGTCGCCTCTGGCCCCATGATATTGAATTGCGAGAAATCCAATCTACGAAGGAAACGGAAAGAATAATCGGAGATGAACGAGGTGAGGAATGTGTCGCGAAATCTTCGCGATATGTTTTGATCTCAGACGACGAGACCACTCGGTGACTCACACTCACCGATACTGGCACACGTCCGGATGCGACTTTACCAACGTGATCTGACAGGAGTCCATACCGTCGTAAGTAGACGGATAGTTTGGATTGACGAAATACGTGTTGTTGTCACTGATCATCGCGCCGCAGGACATCGTGACTGCCCCGCGCGTACATTCACAGCAAGCATGGTATTTTTCGTTATTTTTCTTACAACTGATTTATAAGATCGACGGAATAGGTGTTAGGTCGACGAGATGTCAACTCGACGCAGGAGCGTAAAGGATGAAATTGCTAGTAGCGCACTGAAAACGTCCAATTTGATTTGTTTTACCTATACAGCAAACTCCGTATCCGTTCGCACAGACGCCGCTCGAAACGCCGCCACGTTGGGCGCATTCCGCCGCTGCGACGCACGTGCCGTTCTCTCCGTTTGACCCGCCGCATATGCCATTGTCAAACCTCACCAGCGTGAACAACGAGAAGACTGAAAGATATGGAAAGTATGGACAATATGTGTACAACATTTCGCATATTTATATATTTTCTACGCCTCTGCCATCCAGATATAATTTACATCACTTACGTCTTTTCTGCCTGGCGACTTGAGTCCGATTATCGGTTGGGAATTTCGGCGACTCCCACCTGTGCTTGGCCGTGTCTCGCGGCGAGATCGCGACGAAGTCGCTATCGTTCGTCTGCCACAGCCGTCTTCTGTCCGCGACTCGGTGTCTGCCGCGATTGTTCCAGGCGTCGACGTGAGTGCAAAGCGCGAGGCAGTATATCAAAAGTAACACAACCGGCGTGCAATTTCGGAACATCTCGAGTGGACGGTCTTTACCGAGAACTTTACTCTGGCCTCTTTTGATCTTCTTTCGCACAGTTGCAAATGTGAGTTGCACGATGAGACAGATGACGATGAGAATTCTCGGCAGACAGACCTCCGCGCATTTCATCGAACAAAAGAGACTTCTGCGTACCCGAGGCGTGTAAAGTCCAATATATTCAGAGACACTGTTTACACGGTCTGTATATCAAGCAGCAAATCGCTACAGTACTAAATACGTATCTGGCACGAAAACACCCACACACGAGGATTTCAGGGAAAGTCGAGAAATTTAATTGACGGCTCCAAAGAACAGCATTGTGTTTGTCTCTTGAATCGAGATGGGCGCCTCGCTTTCTCGACGCCGAAACGGCGCGCGATTGTAATCGTCGCTGTTGCAGGAGACACTAAAGCGTATACGCGCCCTAGGACCCATAATCTCCACGTATAATCGCGCGCGGTCGGTCTATTAAATATCCCTGAAAGGAAGGAAGGAAGGAAGGAAGGAAGGAAGAAAGAGATTGTGAGAAACGACGTAGGGATCGCGTAACGGTTCTATTGGCGTTATTCCTACCGGGACATCCTACGGGGACACACAGCCACCACCTCTCTCTAAATCGTTCCACGTGTGACAAGAACCATCACCAAGGTGCGTAAGTTCCGAGGTACGCATGACAGGCCGGGCAGTAATGGTCCATGTTGTTGCAGGACTCGATGCAGTAGGGTATCATGCAACATGGCCAACAGCTGCGACGAGAAATGCAAGTCGGTGGGGGGTCTTGAACGATGATCTTGAACGACAAAACTCTCGAAGCAACCGAACGAAGCGACGAAAAGATGCAAGACGCAAGAATGAGAATTGTGCGCGATAAAAGAGTGCGCGTAACGAGACTGCGATCGTAGTCGGCCTAATTGCGCGTACTACAATTGCATGCGATTTCACCTTCGTCACTTTCGCACAGACTTTCGGACGCGTAAACTTACCCAAACAGAAAGAGCATTAACGCGGTGAGATGAGTGTACGTGGACCGGCGTACTATCACGACGGTGATGATGAGCGCGGCGCATCGGGGGCATATCGCGGTTGTCGGCACCCTCGGCCAGGATCTCCTTGCGCTCGCTAAAAAGATTCACCGCCGATACACACACACACACACACACACACACACGAATCTCCTCGGGGAAAATCTCTGATTAATCCATTATTTTATTTAACGGTATCCCATTTACGACTGTGTGTATGATATTTTTTAACTGAATAAAATCATTTGACAAAAATCTCATTCTCACTTTTAGCACGCAATTCTTAGTTATTTGGATACCTTCGATATAAAAAATAGCCAATTCCAATAGTTTGATTTGAAACCTTTAGGAGAGGAGAGGTTAGGTTAGGTTCTTCGCGACCGAGAACGCTTGCAAAGTACTTATGGCTTTCAGTGGATTAAAGTTGTTCAGAGTGTTTCAAGCCCGATCATCGAAATATTTGGGAATCGCTTTACGGGACAAAGTGACGAACGGATCCCTCGTGGATGTCTCAAGGTTAAACCCTTGAGCTTGAGCGTAAGAGGGCGGCGGAATTCGCGGCGGCGCCGCGACGGGCGATCGATCGTCGATCGGAAAAATGGAGGGTCGTCTGTCGGAGCGCGATATCAGACCGATGGAGGAGTACGTGGGTGGTGCGTCTCTCGACGAAGGAATGTCCTGCGATACATAAGATCGCTTGAGATCGATTAACTCCTATCTAAATTAATTAATTTCTATTTTCGAGAAATTTTCAAGAAAGAAGAATAAGTAAAGTTTTGTTTTTGTTCTTACTTAATTAATTAAAATCTGACCCAACGGAGCTTGACCCCTTTGATGATATATCAAAGGGATTAATATTTCTCATAACACACTTTCTTGTTTCTTGCAACGACACGATGAGAATAACAATATTGTGGTAAAATCATACGAACGAAATCAAAGACATCGAGTCTCGATTAACGCCGATTAAACTCCACAATCGTTCGCCAGATTTTGCGATTATTGTAATTTACGAATTTCTCACGGATGATGTGCGCCGAAGGCAATTACTGAATTTCCATCGTCGTCGTCGTCGTCGTCGTCGTTGTCGTCGACGCCTCCGATGGTAAGATCGATCGATCTGTGGCAGCGATCGGCCAGTAGACGGATAATACAACGCGTACAAAGATGAGTACGCTTCCCGCACGGATCTATGCAATTCTGGGGAAGACAAAGCGAAGACGTTTAGCACGACTATGTTTCGCGCGAACGTCGTACGACGCTCTCTTCGTGCCTTTTCGCATTACCTGACACTTGTTCGACATTTTCGACATCAGTCATTCGCCGTGTGTTCTCGATGGAGCATGTTGACATTTCTCTAAGTGTCATATCTCACGAGCCTTCTTTCGCTGAAGCTACGCGAGATGTACATATAACACGAATATACATACGAGCAGAATGAAGGAGCGTTTGATTTTAATAAGAGCTAAGAGGTATGTATATATTATATTACCAAAGCTGAAGTTTTCTATCGTTTCGTATATCATGTCGTCCGCGAAAAGCCGCCGCGACTCTCTTACTCTCTCCGATTTTGCCGTGATTGAGACTCCATGAGAATAGGAAAGTCTCCCCGTGGAGGGGGGGGGAGGATAAACGTTTCCGAAAGAGATAATTGTACGAATTTCATTTCATTTTCCTCTCATCCGATCGCCCTTTCCTCGCCAGCCAGCCTCGCTTTTCTTGGAATTTCCTTGAGCGGTCGAGACACCGCGCGCACGGGCGCTGAATTTACATCGTCGAGTGTACGTGCCGTATATAACCAAATTCTCTCCCGGATCAACGCGCTCGACTTGTTTCTCTGTTCGTTCTTCTTTCGGATTATTTTGTTTACTAGTCGCGACATGTATACATACATGCATACATGTATACATGTGTATATACATACATACATACATACATACATACATACATACATACATACATACATACATACATACATACATACATACATACATACATACATACATACATACATACATACATACATACATACATACATACATACATACATACATACATACATACATACATACATACATACATATATACATACATACATACATATACATATACAAATATACTATGGGGATTCACCCGACTCGCGCTGGCGGTACTCGCGGTACTCGGGTGTCTTCTCGTACGTATGCAGGCACACGCACACACCGAAGTATCGGCCCATCGGTCCGCCGGCGTTTGAACGAATCGGACACTGCGCGGCTGCGGCGCTGCACGACGGAGCGTGCGCCGACGCCATTGCGTGGAGAGCGAGCAGCGAGCGGTGCGAGGAGGCGAGGCGAGGCGAGGCGAGAACAGCCGAAATGGAGGAGAGCCAAACATCGGAAAGTGTCGCGGTGCTACCGGACATGTCCGAACCGTTGACGAGCGAGACCGAGGAGGCGGCCGCGCTAACGAGCGAGCACGAGGCGCATCCCGTCGCGGTTACAGCGAGCGTCACTTCGGTACCGGGCGTTCCTGGCGTTCCCGGAGTCGGTGTGCCGGTTTCTTTGCCCGTGGGTTCCATTATCGGCGTAGCAAACTCTACCAATGGCACGACCTTCAACGTCATCACGCCAGAGCAGCTGCAAGTACGCCCGGAGCCGAGCGGAACGTCGCGCGCGCGTTTTGCTGTTTGTGCGTGCGTGCGTGCGTGCGTGCGTGCATAGATGTGCTCTGTGTGTCGAATCTCGCGAACGCGAGACGCTATGCAACAATGGAACGGCCCGTGGCGCCTTTTTTTCCCCCCCAAGCGGGTTATATCACCCACGATCACCCACGATCGTGGCGAGAATGGTGCCGTGGACGCGCGCGTGGGAGTGCGCCTGTCCAACGCGAGGGACATGTGCCGCCGTGTCGGTCGTCGTTGTTGATGATGACGATGACGATGACGATGACGCGAAGACGCTATGTGTGTTCTTTCTGCCACATTGTCTTCACATTCGGCACATTTGCACTCGGCTTCGCGTTATATATCTGGGAAAAACATGGCTCTTCGTTGTACCATGTGCATCAATGTGTACACACGAGTCGAACACATGACACGCGTGTCGTCGTACGCACACACGCACCTTAGCACGCATCGTACACGAGTCCATGCGTTAAATTGCATTTTCTACTTGCAGCTGCACTCAGGACCAGGGCAGCTCAGACAGATGCTATGCGTCGATAATGGCTTTATTTGCGAGCCACGTAATGACAAGGACACGGACCCCTTACGTTGGAACGGTGAGCTGAAAGCGACCCATATAGTAATACAAAACAGCACAGATGAAACGGAATCGGAACAAATTCACGTGTCCACACCTAGCTCTCAACCAATATACAGTTGGTCTGAGTCGGCTAATTTGGCGGTGTTACCTGTCCGATGTAAAAACACAAATGCGGAATTGCACAAGAGCAGATTTGGATCAGGCGGTAGAGGACGTTGTATCAAGGTAGGTACGGACTGGTACACACCCAGTGAATTCGAGGGCTTTTGTGGGAGGGCATCTAGCAAGGACTGGAAACGAAGCATTCGATTCGGTGGAAGAAGTCTACAAACTCTTATTGACGAGCAAATCTTAAAACCTCATGCCACTTCTTGTACCTGTGCTGCCTGTTGCGACGACGATAGCGCAGTAAGTAAATAATTTGTCACTCTTGTATCCATCTCATGTCCATCGTATTTCGGTTAAGTCACATTGTCACACATAATCATATGGGAAATAATTTATTAAAAACTATGCATTTCAGACATGTTACATAATGTTGTTATTCGCGTGTACTTAATCTTGGTTCCTTCTATATTAGCAGGTTGAGCAACATTACGCATCAACAACATTGATTTATTTCTCTTAGACAGGACCAGTACGTCTATTTACTCCATATAAACGCAGAAGAAGAACAAGAGACACGTCTGATGGAGAGGGTGTTCCCTTGCGTAAACATAAAAACGATAATTCGCGAGATGGTAGTAATAATGACGAGAGCGACAATGAGGTTGTCGTTCCTGACAAAGAAGTCTGGCCACAGTTTGTTTCGACGGATGGATTGGTTGTGCAACAACCGCAGGAGCAGGATTCTGTTGTGCAGAACGTGCATCAAACAGAGAATGGCCAAGGCGACGATATGTTCAAGAAATTTGATGAATTGTCGGCTAAGATGCTGAAGTTGGCTTACGATTTTAGACGTGCGTTAGACGAGGTAAAGGAACTGAATAGGCAACAGAGACGAGAACAGGCGCTGGTTGCTCAACTTGGAGGACGGGGAGACGTTATCGAGACCGTCGGACTGCAACCAGCGTCCGACGCGCATAATAAGAAGGTAAGGACTTCAAGATACACAAGTAAGGTAGAATTTATCTCTTCATCGTGTCTTCTCTTCGTGTCGCGGTTTATCAACCGTTACTTCATACGTTACGTGTGTTTTTCTCTTTCAGTGTGCCAACTGTAATCGAGAAGCGTTCGCTGAATGTTCCCTTTGTAGACGCACGCCATACTGTTCTACCTTCTGCCAACGTAAAGATTGGGCGAGTCATCAGGTGGAGTGTGTGAGAGGTGCGGCCGAGACTGTAATGCTCATAGTAGAAAGCAGCACTACAGATACGAGCACTCTTCCAACGGCCGCGACGGACCAATAACTAATGTTCCTCACGCCAGTTCACCAAAGGAATATAGGGAACGAGAAATCCGACGTGGAAACGTCGAGATTCAAGGAGACGAAGACTTGAGAGCACGTATTGTACGAGCCCCATGAGAGTAAAACGATGTATATATATATAAATGTAGACAAATGCGATAGAAAATTTTTTGTACGTGTATAAGTTAAATTATAAAAAGAAAACATAACTCTCCTGCAAGTCTGTGAAGAACTTCGAGGTTTTTGGAAACCATGTCCAGATTCATGTAGTTACGTAGTAACGAAACAGTATGTCTCATATCGAACGGTATGAAAGTGTGCAATGTATGTACATTGTTTTATATAATGTTCGATTTAAGATTAACCCTGGATCTTGTGAGTACGCCCGATAGCTACTAACGATTAGATTTAAGCAGCAGCTTAATATTCAACAAGAGGTTTGTTTTCTATTGCTGAACTGGCTGCACTAATTTGCACTTATTCTCTTCTTCTCTCCCTTTCACCAACTCCTAGATGTATATCTATTTCTTTTTATGATCCCTGAGTGTACACTTCGTACGGTTCGGCGATAAAAAACAGACCTAATATTTATACCGACATTATAGCCTACGTTCACATGACCAACGTAAAACCAGTTTGTTGATCATTCCCCCCTCCGATGTTAACGATATTACAAGCTAATATTACACCAATATTACTCCATTGTTGACCTTTTACACCAGAAATACCGAGACCAATAAAGAAATCATTCAATCGCAACTTACGGACTTCTCCCATTGATGACGTTTATGTTTATTATTTATAGTCATAACTACACTACTATACTGCACTATACTGTACGACATGTAATAATAGTAATCAAAACATGAGAAATTATCAAATCGGATTTAAGCTTGTCGTGCAAACGCGGACTTCAATATTGACAGGAACCGTAAATTGCGATCGAGTGACTCCTCACTTGGCTTCAGAATTTTCAAAAAACTGAAGATTTCAGTGGGAATAAAGTCTGTTTAAAGTCGATGAAGTGTCATTGATAAACAGTGAAAATCGGTATAATGATATATGTTGCTTATGCAATTATAATATAAGTTTTTGCGACATGTAACATCGGAAATTGTCAAATATCGGTCTTCAATTGGTCATATAAACGTAGACAAAAATGTGCATGATTGAAAATCAGTAAAAGTGTTAAATTTTAGGTCGTTCTTTAAATCTAATTGTTAATAATCACTGGTTACATCCAAATGATTCAGGTTTAATCATAATGTTATATGTAAGTACTTAATCCTGATACTTTCAATATCTAGTATTTGTGAAAACATACACGCACACACACACACACACATATACATTTATATATAATAAATACCGGTTATGAAAGAAACCAGGATCAAATACTTGCATATTAACATACATTATTTGAAATATATATAGTCTTAGAACAATTATTTCTCAGTGAATGTGCAAACAATATAAACGACCAAAGACGGCAATCTCTATAATTCTGCAATTTTGATGCAGAATTCACAAACTTGAAAGTTATTTTTCGAATACATCTCACATTGTTACGTATTATATTGTATCATCTTACCTTTTTTTGATACCGGTATTTACAGCTTACCACTTAAATTTATTTTATTTATAAATCTTTACGTAATATCACTTTTTACTAATATTTAGAATACAAACGGTACACACACACACACACGCACACACACACACACACACATTATATATATATATATAGATACTAAAAATACATAAATAGGTAATAAAGATATAAAATATTTCCAGTTATATATGCAAAGTGAATAGTATGATTGTGCAATGTATGAAGATCTGTGTGTCATATACGTGCAAAAGTTTATGAACAATTTAATTGCACGCGTTTGTACAGTAAGATTTATTTTTGTTAAATGTATCAATTATATGTATAGTTTACGTGATACGACACACTTTATATAAGCATTTCCACGAGATTGTATTGTTTGTATGATCTGAAAACTATCGAAAACTTCATGTGTATTAAAAGTTTATAACTTTTAACTCCCAAAATAGTTTTCTTATATACTAACTTTAACATAAAATTATAATCACATTTTACTCTTTACAAAAGCAAAGCAAGATATTTATTTTTTACATATTAAAAACATAAAACAACAGAAAACTGGAGCAACATCGCAAGATATATAGTGTGTGTGTGAACAATTTTGTTCTTAAAAACAGTATATGGAAATTTCATTGGAATTTTCATTTCACCTGGGCACATCTACACAATATAGTAATTATATTTTTCTTGTATTTCACAGTTTTATGTGTACGATACTACATTATCTGTATTCATTATATTATTCATTATATTAATGAAATATAACCATGAAAAATTACTTATACATATCTTTTTCTATACGGTTTAATAATATACAGTTTATATTTCATAAAATGTTTGCACATTCTTAAGCAATTAATAATTTCCATAATGCCATAATCTATATAACAACAAGCAGAACCAGTCTTATTTGAAATTGAAAGGTAGCCACTTTCAGGAGAAAAATTTAACAATTGTGACATACTTATGTTGGTTTGAAATCCTGGAAAATTAGTGAGTACACGACACGACGATAAATGCATCATTTTCAAAAAAGCATTGTGCTTCATATTTGATGCTGCGACCAATATTTCACAGGTAGAAGTAAATAAAATTTCAAGCTTGTAACACCAGTGACAAGATTCATCATAATTTTCACAGGAATAGGATTTCGATTTTGCAATACCGTTTTTGTCTCATAAACTCATTTATCACACCATGCGCGCTGCCTGTTGCTATAAATTGGTTGTTTGAGGATATATAGCGAATGAAGTGCCAGATATAAGCAACCATCGTCAATGACACGATAAACGCATATACGACTGTTCAGATCTCATATGTACATTTCACCGCCATCCGCACGATAAAATTAGAATTCGATGTTCAACGAATATTCGAAAATATTGTAAGAGACTTTTCAATTTGAAGCTTAGAATGGATAAACCTTACTACTTAATAATACTTACCACCATGTGTGATAAGAGTTCTATTATCCGGTGTAAATGTTAGTGCTCTACATTTTGAATTTATATTTAATCTGCTAATCAGCTCTTTCGTAGAACCATCTAATAAGAAGACCTCACCTCTCCTTCCATATAATGCTATAAAATTGTGGTCAGGAGGATACCTCAAAATTCTGTAAATATTGCAACTGTAATTAATTTATAAAATTGTACTATATCTAGTAATTACATTTGTATGAATTTGTAATCTTCATATTCGTAATTCCATGCGGTAGAGGTATTTTATGTAATTCTTCTTTTTTATCTTCTTTTTTATCTAATCGAAAGTATTAAAATATGCAGAATGCTGACAAATGCGATCAAAACATCCGTTCCCCATTCACAAAGGTTGCTTTGCTGATTGGATTTTTTTCATGTAATATACTGTGTATTTTCTTGTTTGTACAGCCATCACCAAAACCGAGCAATTTATGTCAGCAATAATTATTAATACAATTAGTAAATAAATAATAGTAAACAAATAATCTAATTCCACCTCAATTCTTGAGGTAAATTTATATTATCTGAATACCTGGAAAAAGGAAATGATGCCTGATACACCAGCGACCAGAGCAATTGTACATTTTGAATGAAATTCTACATTTGTGACAATAGGACCTTCTGTATGAGGACTCTTATTCGGTGTTTTGAGTGCTTTGATGTCGATTATATCTTTTGGCAAGCACACAGATTTCGATTTAACCGTAAAACAACATCCCTGTTTAAAAATAGGAAGAAATGGTTAAAGTTCAATGCATATAAGAGTTTTCAGAAATTTTAAAGATGCCAAAGTACCTTTAAGACATCCGAATCATCATCAGATTCATTAGCTGCTTCGAGTTTAGCCCATTTTGGAGTTGGCCCACAAATATTTTATAATGATTCTTCAAATATGTTGCATACGATTTCTCTGGTCTTTTACATGGTAATGTGCGATTCTGTACATCCAAAGCTGCCAAATTCACACTGTCAGCAAACATAACACACATCACTTGGCACATGTATAACATGAATAACATGAAGAGTTGCGTAATTAAATTGAGAAATCTTTGTAATGGAAATATTTAATATTCTTATACTCACGTATAATTATAATCATCATCATCTACCCAAGCGGCTTTCTTTCTTTTATTCTAGGCCGACATCTCCGGTATCGTTTATCACAGAAGAATCATCGTGTTTCAACTTGACTTTCTCATTGTATGTTTATCAGTTTTTCATAATCAGTATCAACAGGTTCATCGTCTTTCACTTCTATCACAGGTTCTTTCTTCAGCAAATTCTTTATAATATCACTGGGATCGCCGAAAAATTTCCTCTTTCAATCTGTGTATGAAATACACATTATATAACCTCAAAAAAATCTCCTCGAATGATCACAATTATTTTGTTCCTATATGCAAATATCTAGCTTCCTCTTCTGGATCACAAAATATTTTTCCCTTTTTCTGTCATAGGAGTTGAAAACTTTTTATTATATAAAACTTGTGTAGTCGTTATCGCGTCTCTTACGCTCGAAACTTTTTTTCCGTATAGTTTCTCCTCCCATTGTCTCATTCAGGAAAATATAACATGCAGCAAACTATAATCTCTAAATAAACTTTACGATTTAATCGAATATATATTCATAAAACTCTCTTCCTCGCAACACTCGCAACACGTATGTACCCGTTCTGTACGCTCCACGTACTTTGACGTACTTATCCGTGCTAACCAACCGACGCCCCTCTTGACACCTCTTGAAAAACGAACGACGAGAATTTCATTCAAACTCATGCACACGCACACGCGCGCGCGCATATAATTATATTATACATGCATGTATACATAAATTAGATCGTATAATAGATAATTTCTGACCCTTCAGGTGAAATAAAATAGTTGTATTCGTATGTTCTTGTAATTTTATGAAACAATATATGTCGCTTAAGTGTACAATTTTAGAAATATGGTCTAAATTAGGAGGAAAAAATACGCAACCATAAAAATAAGTATTATGATATTAGATATGCTACAATTATAACAATAAGATATTATGGCTTCCTCAAAGATAAGCTTAATATTATATACAGTATACACAAATTTTAACGCGTTAACGAGCTCAGTCGTTTTTTCTTGCTTCTTTTTTTTCTTTTGGTAATTAAGTACACACAGTATATGCATATATTTCCCCGATATATAATTTTTTTACAGTTTTATAACATCTCCATCTCAGAAGTAGTGTCAATAGCAAAAATCAAATCCGAGCATATCCGCTCGGTATAAGGGAATGAAAAGTTTGATTCGTCCGAGAGACTTGTATGCAATTTCCGACATGAATATATAGATTACTCCATTAAATCACAATATTGCGTTAGAAAATTGCGTGCGACAGTGCAGCTAATTATTATTAGAACGCCTATGCGTGATACTACAAAAAGTCTGATTATCTTCAATACAGAATATAGACTTATGCGATCAATCGATGCGATTTCTATCGTATATATAAAAGTCTTAGAATCTATCTTCGATGAAAAAAAGGAGAAAGATAAGAGCAAGAATCATCTCGCTTTCTTCTTCATTTCTCTTTCATATCTTTTATCTTTTTTCCTTCATTTTCGCAAGACACCCTGTATATTAATCTCATTTAACGCAATTGTGATATTCTGTATGCTTTCTTGTATGCTTTGCGTAGATCTCGTAAATGCTTTTCTTCCACTAATTCCAACTGTTGAAACGCACGCGCAATAATATCTGTAGTTATTATTCTTGTGCACATAGCTTAAAGCATAAATATACACACACACATACATACACACACACACACACACACACACACACACACACACACACATATATATATATAGGTGTAATATAAACTCTAAGCGAACATTCGTTCGTATAGCGTTATGACTTTTGATTCCACTCTTGTTGAAACAACAACTTTTAACGATGGCGATTGAAGCGCGTATGTTCGCGACCGAACAATTTTTAATACATTTCAGCCATAAGTAGCACAACCAAGGAAGTCCAGCCGGTGAAAGGATGGCTGCCCTTGCCCGCTCCTCGATCGTTGTCGTAATTCTCCCAGAGGTATCCGGTCTCTCTATACTGCTTCATGATATTCTGTATCAGATTCTGCCGCAATTCATTGTACACCTTCCTCGCATCCTCCCGATACGGTCCTTCCACGTTGGAATAATAATATGCGGCCCGCGCCGTCAGATAATTGAGATTTATCCAGACGGGACCGCGCCAGTAAGGCGGGTCGTACTCCGTGTTGTACTTCATGTAGAGCGGGGAAGTCTTCGCGAGCGAGCGTAGCCCGTACTTTGTCCATAGGAGATCAGGATCCTTCAGATTCCGCAATATCATGATCAGCTGCGGCGAGTCGGGCTCGACGATTTGCAGAATAAACGGGAATAGCGAGACGTATCCGAAGGTCGTGTCGACGAATCTCAGTACTGGATTCTCCAACACGACACGGACCATCTCCGAAGGCTGCGTGTGCGGTCGCTGCTTCTGAGCGGATGGCGACGCGGGTGGTTTTCGCAGCGCGACTTTGTCGGTGTGCAAGCCGTAGTCGCAGTAAGCTCGCATATCCGACGACCAGTGCAGCTTATTCAGCAGTTCATTGTCGGACAGGTACTGGTGCGTCTCTTGATATTTGTTAGAGGGGTAATTTAACGTCTCGGCGATTCTGGCCATGACGCGAGCGGCGAACGCGATCCAGCAACGCAGGTCAACGTGACGCTCGTCGTCGTTCGGGTGCGAAGCCCTCGGGTAATCGTCCAAGCCGGAGGTCAATGTCTTGGGATTCAGCTCGCGAGCAGCGGTCGCGTCTCTGCCTCGCCATCTGTACGTGCCAGGCAGATCGCCGACCTGCGTGGTGTTGAACCACGCGAACCATGCCTCCAGACGCGGATATAGCCTGTCGAGTATCTGCAGATGCTTCTCCGACAGCTCGTGCTCCCTATGCCGAAGCATAAAGTCCAACGTCAGGAAGAACACTGGCGGATTCGCGTTCGTGTTGATCTGCGTGACAAACTCCTCCGGCACTTTGGCGAGAGCCTCTTGACCGAGAATCATCTCGCGGGGGATCCAACCCTCGACGTTCATCAGATCGAGCCAATGACACACGATGTCCAGCTCTATCTCCGTGTCCCAAGCGGAGACGAGTAAGCCGTGAAAACCCTCGTCCCATAGGAAACCTCGCGGGAAGAAACTCCTGCTGGGTACGGCGGTGTATAAAGGTGCTTTCCAGTAAGGCACAGGTGTCTTATTGTGCACGCTTTGCACCTGTGCCGCCCCGTAGAAATAACCCACCGAGCCCAACAGATTCGAAAACGCCATTTTCGCGAATGCCACCTCGTCGTCCGTGTATCCCTTCGACTTCAATCTGAAAACGCTCTCGAACTTGTCGGAGAACAGCTGTCGTTGCTTCTCGAGGGCTGCGTCGTAGTGATCGCCCGTTAACTTGTGCACTCTGGTGCCGAAGCTGCCGGATTCGTAGCTCACTTCGATCTCGAAGGGAATCTTTCCCGTTATCTGGGTGGCGATAAAATTCGGACTCGTCTTCTTGCCGTCGTTTGACAGAGGTAACTGTTCGCCAGCCAAGACCACATGTTTCTTCGCGGAGCCTTTCTGGCTCACGAGGCGAAGATTGTAGATGATATTTTCTTTCAACACACTCAGACCGGAAACGGTCGTCACGAGAAAGGAGTGCTCCTCCACGGTACCGCGTATCAGATTTAAATTGATAACAAATGACCCCAATCCTTGTGTGTTACCCTCCATTCCCGTCAAGTGATGATCATCCCCGAGATTGGCCTTTATCCAACCCTTTGTGCCTTCCTCGATCGCGGTGTAAAATAGCAGTGACATTTCTTCTCCTTCGCGTTTTTCCGACGATACCGCGATTCTCGCGGTCCAATCACCACCATGGTGTCCACCAAGTCTCTTTACAAACGTTGTTTTGATGAGCGTAGAATGGTCTGCTATCTCTTGAACACCGAATGTTCTTCCGTCGTGTTCTAGCCATGCGTATCTGACCAAGGAATATATCTCAAGAACTTTTAACGCAAGAAAACAATTTGTGCAATAGAACATCGAGAACATTTTGATTTTGGTACCTCTCTAGTCCATCACCTTGCTCACACCAGTGCCTTAAACCACTACCATCTGGATGTAAGAAACGTGGGAAATACCACATTAAACCAGTTACCAAAGAATGTGGATCTCTCGTCTTTAAACCAAAATAAACACCAGGCCTGTATGTGCCCCAATATCTGTCTGGATGAGCCAAACCAGATGCGGTAACTAGCTATAGTTTTTTAATAAAGTAATTATTAATTTCCTTGTGATTTTAGAAATAAAAATATATTTAATTTTGCATTCCACAAAATTGTAATTATACATATATATGTGTGTGTATGTGTGTGTGTGTGTGTGTGCGTCGCGTGCTATCAATTGCTATCTATATATTGTAAGATTAGGAAATAAATATATATAAAAGAAAACATACCTTTTTTATATCAAATGGAGTATTTACTCTTGTTTCAATATATCCTTTGTATCCAAACCAAGAAGCGACAACAATACATAGAGCAGTAATTACAGCATTTGTGGATAACATACTTTTATTTGATCTAGGTGAGCCTGTATGTTTGGCTCTAGACTTTGTAATTTTTGTCTCGTGTGGTTTGTTCTTTGCCATATTAAATATACTGAAATAAAACAAATCGTGATGCTTATTATTATATGCTTATATTCAAATATATAATATATGTAGTGATAAAACAGAATTAAAAGAAGATATGCAAAAATAAATGCATTCATAATACACATGTAGAAAACGAGATTCAATTGAGATGTGTGATCAAAACCAGTAGTATCAAGTACACAAAGATAATAATGGGTGCTTTTGACATGAAAAAAAGAAAAATAAATCACTTGCATTTCTGTCAAACTTTCCTGATAAGAGACTGAAGGGCCTGAATCTTTCGGTTGTAATTTAAAAACTCATATTAGGGAGTAAAACAAATTTATATCATAGAATAAAGTACGAAGTATGACTCTGTAGTGTTCAAAATATACATAGGGTATTATCTTATTGTGCACTCTCACTCAACATACAAACATATGGTACATGTCGATTTAGGTTATATTCCTGTTATAGAGCATAATGCTTATCGCGCTGCTTATAAAAATCCTACGTAAATTACAGGATGTTTGTTATATTCGTTATGTATATGTACATCATAGCCACGAGTATTGTTATTTACAACTAACGCTTTCTTAGCTAAAGTAAAATATAATACCGGCGTTGCACACACCGGCGATATCACTCAAGTTTGTTTTCTATTGTTGAACTAGTGTGAACACTTTCGAAACTTGAAAAGACATAGTTATATACAGCTGGGACTCGTTGGAAAGAAAGAGAAGAAAAGAGAACCAGCGCAAGGTAGTGCAGCAAGTTCAACAATAGGAAACAAACTTTCTGTCACATCTATCGAACGTAAGCAACATTACTTGTTCAATTTCAGTGGAACGATGGGTCGGAATTCTTCACGCATGCGCGCGAAATGGTCCTTCAACCAAGTATACCCGGTAGGAAAGGAGAAACGTGTAACCGAGTTTGACGAATGTTTAGATGAAATTAGATCAGGGTTAAAGCGAATAGATGAATCAACGTTATAATACAACGCGACACTTACACCGATCAATACCGAGGTTTACTATTGGAAACAGAGTAATTAAGAAAATTGAAAATTTTTAAGTTGTTTTTAAATTGTTCGGGCAAACCCATTGTTGCGCCTGTTCTTGTTACTGCCTTGAGAGAGAGAGAGAGAGAGAGAGAGAGAGAGAGAGAGAGAGAGAGAGAGAGAGAGAGAGAGAGAGAGAGAGAGAGAGAGAGAGAGCATTCTGTCTCTGCATGCGTAAGAAAAGCTGCCATGCGCTGGCGCGTTAGCTGATTCTTCTAATACATCAATCACTCGACTCCTATTGTCAAATTTTTTTATTTGATTTATTCGGACTTATTGAATTTTAGACAACATACAATCGACGTCAGATCTTCTTCAGAACAAACCCGTGGTGAAACGCGAACGGCGTTTTACGCATATGGCAGCAACAATGGACGATAAGCAAGCGCATCAAGCGCACGAGCGACAGGATACTTTTCGATTCGAACCGAAGAAATGATCGTGTTGCTTAACAGTTTTTTTTTATATTTATTTATCCAATAGTTGCATATATTACAAATAAAGCATTAACTGTTTCACAATATAATCATATTCGGGGAAGAGCTTGTACACATTACGCTGTGTTTACATACTCTAATCGTTTGATTAATGTTCTGCGCGCATCACGTACCTCACTTTTGTTCTCTCTTAATTTGAATTATCAAATGAAAACCGACAGAGTGATTTATCTAGAAACACACGGAGATGTGATGCCTTTTCGTTATTGCCCGTCGTCTTTGAATTGTTCTGTTATACTTTTCTTCTTTTCGTTCGGTCGCTACTCCTAAGTTTCCGTCAAATAATGCCTCGAGAGAATCGTCAGCTCGCAAGTGATAAATTGTTCGCGATCGAAGAAACGCTGCGCTATTTGATAGCATGATACCGTGGTGGTGCTTAATTTACGTGCTTGAAATTTTGTTCTTACATATAACGCGGGTCGCGAATGCATTTTTCATTAAAAAACTCGTTAAAACAACTGCGTATATACAATGTGTGTCAGCGAGGTGTATCGTTTAGAGATGTATATAGGTATGCATGTGCATGTGCATGTGTGTGTGTGTGTGTGTTGACATATATTAAAATTAAAAATCGAACGTTCTTTTCTTTATTTCTTCAGGAGAGATTTACGTGTGAAGTGTGATTATTTCGTTTTCGCTCCCTATATATCGTATATTCCATAAAGCCTTAATTGCTGCGAATTAATACGTACCAACTGTTAAATTTAATAATATGGTGAATCGGTGATTTATGCTTGGTTTTTTTTCCCTTTTATATTACTCCTTATATAAATTACATATTATCCTTGTGACAACTCCGAATCAAACGCATTCGCTTTGTCTGTCTGTTAGAATATTATTTATCATTATAAAAGACAATCAATAACAGTCAAAGCGCGCTCGTGTTCGGACGTGAAACTCAAAAGGGAAGAGAGAGAGAGAGAGAGAGAGAGAGAGAGAGAGAGAGAGAGAGAGAGAGAGAGAGAGAGAGAGAGAGGAAAGAAGGGAGAAGGGAGAAACTGAAATTATAGGTCCATACCATAGTGTCGTTGTATGCGTGAAAGGCGCACGATGCTCATTAAGCTGGCCTTTGCTTTACAAAATCCAGCTAGGAATGGAGGTGAACGAGATAAAGACCTCTTTTTTTTTTTTATTTACATAGGAATGTTACGAGTATGAGAATCATAAGATTGTACGTTATTCTAGAATGTATTACTATTGTTACATATATGTATACGTATATATACATGTATACATATGTATACGTATATAGGGGTGATTTGTCTATTGCTCCTTAAGAAAATCTCCGACACTTTGTCATTATGAAACAAAATAATCCTTGGAAATATTTTACATTATTAATTATTGCTCCATTTAGCGGTCAAACTTGCAATGGTTATAGGTATTAACAAATCATTGTCAAATATAATGCAAACGCATTGACACAAATTATTGAATAAATTGAAATAATATGCAATTTTTCATGTGTCAAATATTCTCCTTTTCCCTCTCTTTGTAACGGTCTGAACACATCGAGATATCACAATGCCTGATATATAAGTCGCTCTGTATATATGTATATTATGCATATATGTATATATATATATATATATATATATAAAATTTCTTCTTTATTAAATAATATTATAACGTCAATAATACATTTCCTATCATAGCATCATATCATACGAGAATCTCCTTATAGCAATAGTTTGCAATCTCTCTTACTACATCTTAGATTTTCTTCTGTATGTAATATTCTTTTCTGAGATAAAGAAAGAAAGAAATGAATTAATGAAATATAATTCGACTTATAAATGGCCGGGATACGTAACACAACGTTTATATAATAATTTGTGCTTCATTGAAAGCAGGAAGAGTGCTATAAGATATACAGGATGTCCCAATCATATTATGTCATTTTTTATATACACTATGATTAATATGAAATCGACTTCTTCTTCGGTTTCAATTTAATCGAAAAATCTGTAAGTAGATCTTTTGCTAGAGAGATTCGACGAGAGATCCTGCAAATTGTAGCATCGATAAATCTTGGAAAAAAAAAAAAAAAAGAAAATGACATGTATGCACGTATACAAAAAGAAAAAAAATAATGTTTCGTTACCACAAATCACAGTGATCGTAATCAAAATTGATAGATATGAATGATCTATAATTACATATAATTAGTATGCTAGGAGTTTCACAATCTTGATCAGCACTGCCGTTCTAACAAGCTACCAGCTATAATGATAAGCATATAATTAAACGCTAATCCGCCTATATACCACTGCTTTTTTGCTCATAATAATAACAATAATAACAATAACAATAATAATAATAATACATTTGGTAGAACGTTGGTGACTTGGAAAATCATCCCGTTCTGTTGTCGCGTTTCTTCAGATTCACCGACTAATAATCTAATATCGACATTAAACGTAGGATATATAGCGCAAAATTCAAGCCCCTAGCAAGTGAGTAAACACAAGTGAATAATGTTCTTGTCTAAAAAAAAAAAAAATTGTATCAACAACAGGCATTGTAAATTATATATACATTCTCAATGGAATCTTTTCAACAGCACTAATATAATTTGCCTATTGATTTTTCTCTTTTTTATATCTATTAAATATTTATAAATATAACTTTGATATACCATTCTCTAGATCGCGTGAGATTTCAAATCAACTATCTTTAATACGCAATGAATGGGGTGCAAGTATGAATATCTGTATATATACCTATGCAGATATATAAACGTATAAACATACTTTTTTTTTCCGTATTTATGTATAAATTGCATGTGTGACTGTTCGTAATCGCGTAATCGGCATGTATGCTTGTGTATACAAATGTGTTCGGTACTGCGATGTGTTGCAGTACTTGCTCGAAAATTGTGCTAAACATTTTGAAAAAATAATATTAATATTTACATAAAGTATCTAGCTTAGAGAGAGATACATAGTGTTTCTTTTCCTTCTTTATTATACGATAATATAATATGAAATAACATTTGTATCTTTAAATAAAATGGCAATGTGATATTGTTCCAATTGTTACGAATAAAAACTAAAACACCTCGATGATATCTCTATAGACAAAGATATCAAAGATTATTAATCTGTTTGCAAATCCAATGTAATATTCTCGTATATCACGTTGTGTCATTAATGCGTTGTATCTAAATTTTGACATACTTTCCTAATAGTGTATTTGTGTCGATATTTTACTAAAGGGCTTCTTCTTTTTTACAGATAGTATATCTTCTTACTTATAATGCCTCATAAACTTGCTGCTTGAATGGAAGAAAAAAGAGGGGAAAAGTATGTCCCATGTGCAGTCTCTATTTAAAGCCAATAATTACGTATGACACAATAAATAATTATACAAATTGTCTGAAAGATACAACAGCTCTTGGTAGAGTAGCGCGGCAAATATCAGTGAAATTAGAGTGGTGGATGTTGCTGCATACAATTGCACGTATAATTGCAAAAGATTTCAGTTGTTCCTTTGAAAAAGAAATCTATAGTATACAAAGCAAGTACATATGTGTGTACAATTCATGACATTCTGGTTAATATATATATATATATATTATATATGTATATATATATATATATCCTTTGTTCATTCATATTAAACTATATAAGAAAGCAAGAAGATGAAAAGTGTGTAAAGATTTATAACATTCCCTATTTCTCTTACAAATAATAATATATACATTTCAACAAAGAACAAACTTAACAATCATATCTGCGGCCAGCGCTTGTCACTTAAACATTTAAAAACAGATTCATAAGAACTCTAATGTCTCCTTCGTGTCTCCTTCTCTTCGTTTCCAAATATTAACTTTGATAATTACTGTCTCTCTCTCCAATGTCTGTACTTATCCTTCCTTCCTTGGTTTATCCTTCCGTTTAAATTGACAATACTTCAACGCAAGTGGGCAGACGAATCAGCACATTTGTCACATCTGGCATATGTCTGCGAAATGCACATGAAATCGCGATCTTTCTCAAAACAACACAACACACTGTTTGAGGCTATTTCGCAACAAGTATCTTTGTATTATCTTATTTGAGAGAGAAATATTGTTGTTCGTTCTGAAGAAAAGTATGTCGTGCAACTTTGTCGTACAGTATTAAAAATTTCTGGGTTGGGCATTTCTCCGGACTCTGTGATTTGTATCTCAAACTCAAACACGCAACACGATCGATAATGATTGTAAACGAACTCTTGGTCAAGTTGCATTTCTCAGAAATATGCTGCGGATAACAATTTGCAAGTGATAAGTTACTTACAAATTGATATTAATGTGCTGATTGGACTGGCCAGTTGCGTTGATTACGGTTCATTTTCTCAAGCTGTCTTTGCTACTCGCGCGGCTGGTTGAGGCTGTGCTGGATTCTCCTGGTCCACCGGTACCACCCGCATCACCATTGATGCTGGAGCCTGCGAGAGAAGCGGTGGGCGTTACCGGTGCTGAACGCCTCCTCACTTTTGTTAAAGCTTTATCCAATCTTTGTATGAACGCATCCACGTCGGACCTCTTCATGCCTAATGCTGCCGCAGCAGTCAGATATGGAACTCTGTAATTGCTGTTGTGTGCTCCCCAACCTGTTGAAGATCGAAAGAGAGAGAGAGAGAGAGAGAAAGAGAGAGAGAGAGGGGGGGGGGAGAGAGAGAGAGAGAGACGAATATGTAGTTTGACATTGATTCTATAACCTTTGACAAAGTATCAAACTGGGGTAAAAAGTTGCATGAAAATGATACTGCACACGCACACGTGCATGTGCATATGCATGCGTGTGTTGTGTGTATGTGTGTGTGTGTATACTAGATATCAATGAGTTATCAGTGTTATCAGTGTATCATCAAATATATTAATTAAGGTATGTACCTTCAAACTTATGCGAAACGATGTGCTTAGAATCTGTAGTTGTTATTACTCTAGTACCGCTAACGTTACGCAGAAATAGCATGGATCCTAGCATAGTAACTTGCTTGTTGTCATGCTGATGACTCAGACACTGGAGAGTCATAGCCATAGATATCGGATTCCCCTTGGTATCCAACAGTCTCTCGCCGTGTCTCGTTGCCAGTTTCCCTAGTTCGTCTTTCAAATAAGAATACATTTCCTTACGTTGAGCAATCAATTGTTTGTACCCTGCCATTCCAAGACTCAACAACGTGATCATTACGTCCATGACGGAGCTTGCGCTCGCTCGTCCGGGATACATCTTCGATATGCGATCCAGGAGGCTCTTATCGAAGGAACCTATGATAGCACCACCCACTGGAACTAAAAAGTTCTTGTCCGTGCTTTGAACGAAAGCATCCACACGACCCTTCCTCGATGCTTCTTGTATGAGGTGCATACATCTTGTACTCTGCAAGCTTTTAGCAGTATAGTGCAATATATGTAGTGTAATAATTTTCAGGCAGAATATCTTCAATATCTGCGCAACCGCAACGACCAACGACCGCGCTCTTTCCCTCGCGTTCTCCCTTTCTCCCGTTGTTCATACACATCAAAAATCAAAGAGCGGTACTTTCGGTCGTTTCGGTAACGAGATATCGACTTGCGCGGATGTGCGAGTAAAACAATCAGTAAGTAGGTACTTGTACTTACCCGTACGCATTGTTCACCAAGTGCGGTATATTATACTGAGTACAAAGGGCCGCGATCGCGTCGACGGAGTCGCACGCTCTGGGCGCGAAGCAACTGGTCGTTGTAAGTACGCAAGCGACGCTCTCGCCCAAAGCTGCCATTTGAGCCTCGAGTCTCTGCATATCGGTCTTCAGTTCGTCCCCTATTATTTGCATTTCAATGACGACGGGTTCTAATCCCGCTGTGATTATAGACTTGAAGCTAGATTTTTGGTCGATTCTAGGCCATAGAACATATTTCGCTCGTGGTCTGTCCTGCTTAAGCGTTAACATACACAGAACTAGGCTCATTCCTGTAGCCATTGGCGATAAGAAGCAACCCGCTATGCTCTTCACCCCTGCAATCAAGGATATTTTTATGGACACACATGTGCTGTTGTGCGTCTCAAGTGTCGAATTAAAAGTAAAGCTAAACTTGATCGCTCTTTAAAAATCGAAAATGTGCGCCTCCTTACCCATGTATCGTATGACTTCGAGCACTAAGGAGTTGGTTAATTTGTACATTAAACTGCTGCCAGCAGCCTTTGGTTGTACCTCCTCGAGATCGCCGGATCTTCCTATGCCATGGCCCATACGAAAGTGTCGTCTGGCGACGATGTTTGACACGATTCGCGCTTCGCGTTCACCGACGCTACAGTTTGAGGGGAAATTATTGCTGTCCATTTGAGAGAGGTCCGACAGAAACGCTTCTATCGTTGCGTCGTCCCATCCTTCTTCCGGCCACTTTCGCTGTGGGATTATAAATTTAACGTGTATAAGAGCATCGTACGCTACGTGTGAATATTCGAATATTTTATGTGTATATACATGCGAGTGTTCTGTGCTCGCGCCACTTACGTGTTCAATAAAGTGTCGTATGAGATTTTCGCGAAACTTCTTGGCATTTAGACCTTGTTGCACATAGGTCGAGGGTATGAGCCTCTCCGCCAAACCGAACGCTTGATTATTCATCTTCTCAACTTGGAGAATTTTTGTCAATTGATCAGTCCAACTCTTGTCGAACTCTTAGTACACCATCGCTTTGGTAACTGACAGAGAACAATTACGGTATGATTGTTTTCCCAGAGACTCGGCGCTTCAAGGATGAATGAAAAGCCAAATTTATCGATATACACAACGCGACAATTTCAATCAATTCAAAGTTTAATGAATGCATCTGGTAGTAGTAGATATCTCTCTCTTCCAAGTATTAATTCTAGTACAAGTATAATGTAAGTATATGTAAATCTATCAAGTATCCAATGAATTATTCAATGAGTTGTGTATAATCACAAGTCATCTATCGGTCTGACCGGTTTGACTAAAACTAAAAGATCTGACTTTACAATGCAAAGCTCAGCAGCGTCACAAAAACCGCAATGAAACAATGCTATAACAACAAAGTGAAGATAACGCGGAACGTCATCATCAACAGCAATGCATACTTACAAGTGCGAATTTGTCTGTGCAGAATTGATATGTAAGGAAAAATGGTGGGTTCGGCGAAGCGCGAGTGTTGCATCAAAATACACGAAATAAAAACACAAAGTTTGCGTAAAGAAAATTTATTAATCAACAAACGGCGACGAGAGAAAAACTCAAAGCTACAAAACAGATTGTATCCTCGATATAACGTCGCGCGAGAACAAAAGTATACAGAACAGAATCAAACTGAACATCGTCAGATACAGTACGATGAACACGTAGTGCATGTAAATTTAATAATAAGGTAAAGAACGCAGAGCGAAAGAGAGGAGAACGACGACACTCACGCGATGCACAATAATAAAATATGAAGGAACGTAGAGTGTGTGTGTGTGTGTGTGTGGCACAAGTAGGTAGAGAGAGGTGGCCGCGTTCTCCGGGATGTCGTTTCCGAGAACACACACGAATAGTCCAAAGACGGGAGGGATTCCGTCGCTTCCGTGTGAAGCGAAACTCAACGGGAGGCCGGTGGTGTAGAGTCGCGTTATTACACGGTTCTTGTCATCGCAACGACGGTGGTGATCCGTGCAAACGAACGAGAGCGGATGAATGAGCGGGATGGATGAACAACGTACGATCGAACGATCCGAGAGAGAGAGAGAGAGAGAAAGAGAGAGAGCGACAGCTCGGTCGTCGCGACTCTTTAAAGGTTATGTCGACGCGCTATAGCTCTCGGATCATCGTAGTCTCATCGTCGTCGTTGTCGTCGTCGTCGTTGTCGTCGTCGTCGTCGCGTAAAATTCCATACCCATTTGAGACGCAGTGGCAAAGGCGACGCGCGACACGGACACGGACTCTCGTTAGAGTTAGGAGTGCTCGCGCGGAGGCTGTTGGACGAGAATACGTTGTTCGAAGAAATACGACTCGTATCACCGCGGGTACATGGTTCAGGGACCTGTCAGACCTCGAGCGGCCACACGTCAAAAGTGGGTTGGGCCACGACACGACACGGAGAGCGGTGCGATCGCTGCCGCTGCTGCCGCCTCCGCTGCGCCGTTGCGTTGTCGCGCGTTCTCTCCTCACTATGCTGCACGATATATCGTTTGTCGTGCTTATCGATGTATCATTCTAACGAACGAGAGATTGCGCGTTCATCCTCCGCTTATACAGCCTAAAGGACAACAAAAGGGAACAACTCTGTCCGTCGCGACGATTCTTGCAGGTTATGTCGTTCTCTCTCGCACGCGCGCGCGTGCGAGCGCGCGTGAGCGCGCGCTCCCTCGCGTCAGCTCGGTCGCGAGGTCATCCAAATCGGATTAATTTTACGCAATACCGATGACCGACGTAATTGCTCCCCGTCACGGGTACGGTCACGGCGAGGCGCACGGTCACGTCCGTTCGCAGGAGTCGGCGCGCGATCGTCTCCGTCCGTCGACGAGCGAGCAGCGAGCACGATGATGAGCGGCGCGTACGTGTGGAGATTCGCAAAAATCGCCAGGCACGGGCTTTTACCTCCTCCTACCCCCCTCGCTATTACCACTCCGCGGATCCCGGCGCTCTGCCGACAACGAACCGACGGCTCGCGCCACCACCGAACAGCGCTACGGACGAATTCAACGTCCACCGTTGTAACCGCCGTTGCCACTATCACCACCACCGCAGCCGTAACTGGCAACAACACCGACGACAACGACGACGACGACGTCGTTTTCACGGGTCACAGTGCTCCGTATGTTATCCGTGCATCGATTATTCGACAGGTGCATTGTTTATTGTTTGATTATGTGTCATGCCATCGCGCGCGCCATTCTCTCCTTTATGATTCGTCTTCCTCTGCATCTCTCTCGCGCACCAGGTCTCGCATGAATCTGGGGGAGAGAGAGAGAGAGAGAGTTATTGAGCAAAGTTATTAATAATTTGATTGATATTACAAACGACACGCGTATCGCTCCGATCTTTCTCCGCATCACGATCATAGCTAACGGTCGCACGCGATTTCGAGGCGTTTCGAGTACGAAAATAATAAATCAGACCAAAGCGCTGTCGCAAGCAAGCGCGGTCAGTAATTTAAAAGAGAAGCTCTTCCCACGCTGCGCGAGCGAACGAACGAACGAACGAACGAACGAACGAACGAACGAACGAACGAACGAACGAACGAACGAACGAAACGAACGAACGAAGAACGAAAAAAAAAGAACGAACGAAAACGAAACAACGAAAACGAACGAACGAACGAACGAAACGAACGAACGAACGAACGAACGAACGAACGAACGAACGAACGAACGAACGAACGAACGAACGAACGAACGAACGAACGAACGAACGAACGAACGAACGAACGAACGAACGAACGAACGAACGAACGAACGAAACGAACGAACGAACGAACGAACGAACGAACGAACGAACGAACGAACGAACGAACGAACGAACGAACGAAACGAACGAACGAACGAACGAACGAACGAACGAACGAACGAACGAACGAACGAACGAACGAACGAACGAACGAACGAACGAACGAACGAACGAAACGAACGAACGAACGAACGAACGAACGAAACGAACGAACGAACGAACGAACGAACGAACGAACGAAACGAACGAACGAACGAACGAACGAACGAACGAACCGAACGAACGAACGAACGAACGAACGAAACGAACGAACGAACGAACGAACGAACGAACGAACGAACGAAACGAACGAACGAAACGAACGAACGAACGAACGAACGAACGAAACGAACGAACGAACGAAACGAACGAACGAAGGAACGAACGAACCGAACGAACGAACGAACGAACGAACGAACGAACGAACGAACGAACGAACGAACGAACGAACCGAACGAACGCAACGAACGAACGAACGAACGAACACGAACGAACGAACGAAACGAACGAACGAAACGAACGAACGAAACGAAAACGAACGAACGAACGAACGAACGAACGAACGAACGAACGAACGAACGAACGAACGAACGAACGAACGAACGAACGAAACGAACGAACGAACGAACGAACGAACGAACGAACGAACGAACGAACGAACGAACGGAACGAACGAACGACAACGAACGAACGAACGAACGAACGAACGAACGAACGAACGAACGACGAACGAACGAACGACGAACGAACGAACGAACGAACACGAACGAACGAACGAACGAAACGAACGAACGAACGAACGAACGAACGAACGAACGAACGAACGAACGAAACGAACGGAACGAACGAACGAACGAACGAACGAACGAACGAACGAACGAAACGAACGAACGAACGAACGAACGAAAACGAACGAACGAAACGAACGAACGAACGAACGAACGAACGAACGAACGAACGAACGAACGAACGAACGAACGAACGAACGAACGAACGAACGAACGAACGAACGAACGAACGAACGAACGAACGAACGAACGAACGAACGAACGAACGAACGAACGAACGAACGAACGAACGAACGAACGAACGAACGAACGAACGAACGAACGAACGAACGAACGAACGAACGAACGAACGAACGAACGAACGAACGAACGAACGAACGAACGAACGAACGAACGAACGAACGAACGAACGAACGAACGAACGAACGAACGAACGAACGAACGAACGAACGAACGAACGAACGAACGAACGAACGAACGAACGAACGAACGAACGAACGAACGAACGAACGAACGAACGAACGAACGAACGAACGAACGAACGAACGAACGAACGAACGAACGAACGAACGAACGAACGAACGAACGAACGAACGAACGAACGAACGAACGAACGAACGAACGAACGAACGAACGAACGAACGAACGAACGAACGAACGAACGAACGAACGAACGAACGAACGAACGAACGAACGAACGAACGAACGAACGAACGAACGAACGAACGAACGAACGAACGAACGAACGAACGAACGAACGAACGAACGAACGAACGAACGAACGAACGAACGAACGAACGAACGAACGAACGAACGAACGAACGAACGAACGAACGAACGAACGAACGAACGAACGAACGAACGAACGAACGAACGAACGAACGAACGAACGAACGAACGAACGAACGAACGAACGAACGAACGAACGAACGAACGAACGAACGAACGAACGAACGAACGAACGAACGAACGAACGAACGAACGAACGAACGAACGAACGAACGAACGAACGAACGAACGAACGAACGAACGAACGAACGAACGAACGAACGAACGAACGAACGAACGAACGAACGAACGAACGAACGAACGAACGAACGAACGAACGAACGAACGAACGAACGAACGAACGAACGAACGAACGAACGAACGAACGAACGAACGAACGAACGAACGAACGAACGAACGAACGAACGAACGAACGAACGAACGAACGAACGAACGAACGAACGAACGAACGAACGAACGAACGAACGAACGAACGAACGAACGAACGAACGAACGAACGAACGAACGAACGAACGAACGAACGAACGAACGAACGAACGAACGAACGAACGAACGAACGAACGAACGAACGAACGAACGAACGAACGAACGAACGAACGAACGAACGAACGAACGAACGAACGAACGAACGAACGAACGAACGAACGAACGAACGAACGAACGAACGAACGAACGAACGAACGAACGAACGAACGAACGAACGAACGAACGAACGAACGAACGAACGAACGAACGAACGAACGAACGAACGAACGAACGAACGAACGAACGAACGAACGAACGAACGAACGAACGAACGAACGAACGAACGAACGAACGAACGAACGAACGAACGAACGAACGAACGAACGAACGAACGAACGAACGAACGAACGAACGAACGAACGAACGAACGAACGAACGAACGAACGAACGAACGAACGAACGAACGAACGAACGAACGAACGAACGAACGAACGAACGAACGAACGAACGAACGAACGAACGAACGAACGAACGAACGAACGAACGAACGAACGAACGAACGAACGAACGAACGAACGAACGAACGAACGAACGAACGAACGAACGAACGAACGAACGAACGAACGAACGAACGAACGAACGAACGAACGAACGAACGAACGAACGAACGAACGAACGAACGAACGAACGAACGAACGAACGAACGAACGAACGAACGAACGAACGAACGAACGAACGAACGAACGAACGAACGAACGAACGAACGAACGAACGAACGAACGAACGAACGAACGAACGAACGAACGAACGAACGAACGAACGAACGAACGAACGAACGAACGAACGAACGAACGAACGAACGAACGAACGAACGAACGAACGAACGAACGAACGAACGAACGAACGAACGAACGAACGAACGAACGAACGAACGAACGAACGAACGAACGAACGAACGAACGAACGAACGAACGAACGAACGAACGAACGAACGAACGAACGAACGAACGAACGAACGAACGAACGAACGAACGAACGAACGAACGAACGAACGAACGAACGAACGAACGAACGAACGAACGAACGAAACGAACGAACGAACGAACGAACGAACGAACGAACGAACGAACGAACGAACGAACGAACGAACGAACGAACGAACGAACGAACGAACGAACGAACGAACGAACGAACGAACGAACGAACGAACGAACGAACGAACGAACGAACGAACGAACGAACGAACGAACGAACGAACGAACGAACGAACGAACGAACGAACGAACGAACGAACGAACGAACGAACGAACGAACGAACGAACGAACGAACGAACGAACGAACACGAACGAACGAACGAACGAACGAACGAACGAACGAACAACGAACGAACGAACGAACGAAACGAACGACGAACGAAAACGAACGAACGAACGAACGAACGAAACAACGAAACGAACGAACGAACGAACGAACGAACGAACGAACGAACGAAACGAACGAACGAACGAACGAACGAACGAACGAACGAACGAACGAACGAACGAACGAACGAACGAACGAACGAACGAACGAACGAACGAACCGAACGAACGAACGAACGAACGAACGAACGAACGAACGAACGAAACAACGAACGAACGAACGAAAACGAACGAACGAACGAACGAACGAACGAACGAACAACGAACGAACGAACGAACGAACGAACGAACGAACGAACG